CTTTTTATAGCCACTCTTTTCAGACTGATTCAGGATCTCTGTTGCCTCCCAGCCTCGAGTACCAGCTCTATTAGTATGAACTGTGCTTCTGCCCTCCTCCAGTTTGCGACTCAAGCCGAAGTCGGCCAGCCTTGCATTTTTCCCTGAATCTGTTGAAATATGAGTTTAGCTTACCTGTGATATAATCTCTCCATCTCTCTCTCTCTCTCTAATTAATGTTAGACTAAATTATGATACATTCCTTGTAAAGCTGCCACAGTAGTAAATAAAACCTATTTTTGATACCTATCAAAACATTTCTAGGCTTTATATCACGATGTATCACGTCAGCGTGGTGAAGAACTTGAAGGCCAAGAAGCATCTCCTTCACTATTTTCCTCAAAGCGTTGTCTTTGTCCTTTTGCTCCTGCAAACGAAGATTGTCCATGTAGTCCTCCATATCATATTCGCAAAGCTGTAGCGCAAGATAATAAAAATCTTCATCCTCTGCCAAGTCCACATACCTGACGATGTTCTTGCTCTCAAGCTTTAAATCTCGTAGATGCTTCAGTTCATTTTCAAAGTCTTTGCTATTCAGTGGATCCTTGGTTATTCGTTTAATGGCCACCTCAGTGCCATCTTCCTTCAGGCCGAGATATACTCTACCACTTCCTCCAGAGCCAATAATGTAATTATTACTTTTAGAAAAGAAGATGTTACTGACTTTTTTCTTGGAGGGATCTTTCTTGAGTTCCTCAATTTTACTTCTGTGTTTTATTGAGGATGGGTTGCACCTGATGATGTCATCATCTGGTTTGTCTGTCTTATCTTGCACTTTTTCTGTTGCTACTTTTTGATGGTGAGACTCAGTTACCTGTTTGTCATCGGCCGTCTGTAAGAATGAACCTGGAAAATCCATTTAAAATATTAAAATAAAAGTTGAGTTACAATAGATGTATATACATACATATATATATATATATACATTTAAATATGTTGTTTACTTCATACCTTGAAGTTCTTGAATGACATCAGGCTCTATTTCTTGCAGTATTTCGCAAAAAGCTGATTTTACTGCAGATCCTCCAGATTTCACAGCTTTTAAAAGCTCTGTACTTTGGGTCCTTTTTGTTGTTTTTGTGATCTTTGAATACTGTTTCCAGGTAAGCTTTCTGTTTTCATGCAGCTTATCAGCGATGTTCATCACAGATGTTACGTTCTGAATGAGAGCTTCATAGTGCGTGTCCACAAACTCAGCATCTAAGTATCAAACATCAACACTTAAATGTGTCACTCTTTTCTCATCTTCAGAACACAGTAACAAACCAATGAATCAGCCAGCAAACCCAGAAAGAATTAAATCAAATGATTTTTGTATGCCAATATTATTTCAAATGTGGTGTCTTTTCATGTAAAACTTACACTGATGTTCCATTGTTTTTCTTCAGTCCCTTTAAACTAGCTAAAAAGACAAAACATCAACATTAACATGCTGCTTTTTATATTATTCTTTATTCTTAATAATTTAAATAAATAAAATGCTTGTTTTCGCTATCATTAGTTTTGAACCAGACAAAGTCAGACTTTACTTGATATCAGTTTGGGGTAAGTTGAACCATCACAAGTTGAGATATTTTTTTGGCATAATTGTTTTGCTGTGACATTGTGAAACGTACATACACATAAGTAATAATTTATTCATTCAACTGTATTTTTTTGTAGTCATTATTTATCTATAGAGAAAATGACTTTCAAAAAGAAACTAGACTGAGAAACTAGACTAGAATGTTTTCAGTGACATTTGAAATCGAAAGGAAATCACTGACCGTCAGTCAGAACGTAACAGTCTCTAGCATCTAATAAACATCATATTTTATGCATATTCAGATGTGAGTTTCATATACCTGTAGTTTATAAGCAATCGCGGATACTTTTTGTCGTGTAGAAATCGGGAGGTTAGAAAGAGTGCGGAAGAGGGAAACGATAACATGCAGCCAATCAGTGCTAGCATACAACAACACACGAGACCAGTGGCTTATTTCCTTTCGGAGAACTCCACACACCCCTATATAAAACAAACTCGTCTTTTGCGGTCTTCTCAAATCGTCGTTAATACAAATGTCAGAGACATAGTTGTGATATATAAATCTATATTTGTGTAAAATAATAACAAAATGTATTTTCTCAAGCACAAGCAGCCTATTGCTTTGGTTACTTCCTGAAGTGAACTTTCCTCATCAAAACACTGATGAGGTCATCCCAACCAGAGCCATATATTGAGAACTAAGCACAGCAGGAGGAATTTCAAGCATTTTTTTTGGAACATTTTCAAACACAACAACAAGAAAAAACAGTAAATTAAAAAAAAAAATACACAAAGAAACACAACCCCAATATAAATGCCATGAGAACATGTTATAAGGCTACATCAAATTTACAAAAAAAAAAAAAAAAAAAAACACTATTTAAAAAAACTTGAATGAGTTACAATTGTTTGCAATGATCTGCAGAAGGTGAAGCTGTGTCCCAAATCAGGGGCTTCATCCTTCGAAGGCCGCAAAGAACGTCAGACCAAGCATTGTTAAATGGGACGGTCTACTTTAGTCTCTAGTCGCCTAGCAACTTTGACAGCTTTTGTTGATAAGCCACAGTAACATTGGTACTAGACTTTTTATTTTATTTAAAAAAAAAAAGGTTATATTAAACTGTCTGAAACCAAAACGTGGTTCACAACCTGTCTAAATATTTTTATCATGGTCCATTTCTAATAAAGAGTAAAACTATATAAATCGCATCTTAGTAAGACTTGTCAACATTTGAACCGGGTTAAAACTCTCTTTTTTTTTTTTTTTTTTTTGCGGAATGCAAAAAAAAAGTTTGCAACAACATTTTCACCGGAGGAAGAGATAAACGTTTAGAAACGCCCATAGAGCTAGCATGATGCCTGACAAAGGTTACCGGTACTTATCTGAAGTAACGTCATGATCACTGCCACTAGATATAAAGAAAACTTGTTTTTTTACTCAGTGCTATCCAATGACAGTAAAAATATATATGTGTCGTTATTGTGCACTGCTGCTCGTAGACTAGCTCCAGTGCTCATTGGTGCGTTGCTAAATGATAGCAACTCAGCTTGACACTTCACCAACTCTCCAGTCTCCACTCATTCTCCTCGGACCATGCATTTAATTGCATTTGACGGCCATCAATTCTTGGCAATTCCTCATTGGCCTCTCACATCTGGCAGGTTCAAAATTATACAGCTGCGGCCCATCATACATGTTGGCTCTTGCCACCTCTTCCTCATCCAAGTCAGTCGCCATAGTTCTAATACTAGGCTGAGGCTACCTTTTACTTCTCCCCAACATGACGCCGGCATCACCGAATTGCGCCATCACCTGTTAATACCAAAAACTGGCCTTTAAGACCGTTTTTGAGACATTTAAAAAAATTATATACATATCTTGAATGATTTATGTACCCATTAATCGACAGTGGTGGTTAACGTGCATGCAACACGACGATTAAATTTGGCAATTTCTCTAAACAAAAACTGCCGTGCAATGAATTCTGGGGTAGGCAAGGCTGTGAAGGATCCATCTGTTGTATCCATTTTATGGGAAACAAAGAAATAATTTTAAATGAGCCTTCAAATTGCCACAGCCTTCATCTGCCGCTGTGACGCAATTGTTCTTCGAATGATAGAGCCTCTGAATTGGGACTCTGAATCTAAAGACTACAAACCATTTCACCAAACCAATATTTTTTTTTTTTTTTTTATTAATTTAGCTGACGCTTTTATCCAAAGCGACTTACAATTGCTATATATGTCAGAGGTCGCACGCCTCTGGAGCAACTTGGGGTTAAGTGTCTTGCTCAGGGACACATTGGTGTCTCACAGTGGATTCGATCCCGGGTCTCACACAACAAAGGCATGTGTCTTATCCACTGCGCCATCACCACCCCTCACAATACATGAATGACATACACATGGAAAAAGAAGCAAAGTATGTATTAAAATCATTACATCACTGATTTGATGCATAAAAACAGCAAGTCAAAAATGTCAATAACATGATAGCAAAGATACGCAGGCCTTGAAACCACCATCAACAGCCTTGAGCTGAAACCAATAATGTGGAGTTTATATTTGGCCGATGGGGATTCATTAAAAACGTCATTATTCAACATGAAGTGCAAAGCAGTGGAAGTGGCTATCCACAAGTTTCCTACGCCCCATGAGGCCTTGCGTCAAAAGTGGGCGCGACTTCCGGTTGGAAGTAAACAAAGCGCGATTTGACATGCTTGACACTCGTTCATTCAACAGTTGACAGTCATTCAAGTTATAGCGATCCAAACTAGCTAAAGATGTGGGAACACAACCTCAATGAAATTAAAAATGTTGAAATAACAGTACCTTTACCCTCCGCAGTAGTTGATTAGGAGTATTATAATAACATTATTAATAATCAATACACATCAAGGCATGGTGACAGACAGATGTGCGAGCTGACAAACAATTAAAATAAAAAATACACGCTTATTCATTGTGCTTTGGAGTTTATTCAAAATTATAAATGAATGTGCTGCTTGAATAACATTAACTGGCACATTTGGTATTCTGTCAACACAGGCTTTGATCCTGAGTTTAGGTGTAACATCAGTAGCGAACAGCCAATCACATGCTGATAGAGTTTATAGAATATTAAGAATTTAAACAAATGTACATAGGAAGATTCGTCGTCTTTTGGGAGGTGATGGAAACTACAGTCGTTGGCAGGATCAGAGACGGGCTCTGGCAGGATCACTCTGATTTCGTTTTCAGCTTATGTTCAAAACAATCACGTTTAAGCCACTGAATTAGTTTAGTCCGGCTATACATACAACCGCGAACAGCACATGTTGTCCCTGAGCTCCGTAACGACATCTCTCATAAAGATTTGCGTCTTTAAATAGTAAAATAATTCTTCGAAAAACAGCTAGCATCTTCGCTAACTAACACACAAAATACCATTGGAATGCTACTTCCGCCGCGTCACCGGAAGTTTCACCCACTTTATTTTTTACAGGAGCGCCCCTCGGAAACTTGTGGATAGGTGTCTGCATCCATCCAGTCTCTTCAATATTCCCAGCCCATGTCAGTAGCCAACCGGTGTAAACTGATGAGGAAATCTGGGAACCGATCAATCATGTTCTCTGCATAGAAGAGTTTTTCCCTATTGGAAACAAACTAGAACTGTTAAATCTTACAATATACAATAAATAATATACAATAAGAAATATTATTTACAGAACCTTCTGTAAAACACTGTAAAAAAGGTATGCAGAAACTACTCAGGTTGTCTTTGTTAAACCTTAAAAATCCCCCCTCCCAATTTTTGTACTTACTGATGTCCCAGTGCATTGCGCAAATACCGTAATAGGCCGAGTAAGTCATTGGGAAGATGTTTTCCAATTTTTGTCCATGTTTCAGGAGCCTGAAAATACAAAACCGGAGTCTTACATCCAGAAATCTCAGTGCAGAAAACAATGACAGCAAACATCCATACAATACAACACTGTTTTTGTAATCATTTAATATGTTATATTAGTGAATATTGCAGTATTTATTAAAAATCATTTATCCGTGCACATTATTTTTTTACATTCATGTTCCCCAAAATCTTTAATCAAAATAACTTCCCCTCCCTCTCGCAGCTCATCTCTACTCTGATGATATGTTTACTGTGGGGGCGGGATCAACCTGTCACTCACATAAGATCGACCAATAGCAAACCAAAACCATCTAACCAACTATCCAATCCTTTTGCAGTCTTCTCAAATTGTTAATACAAACGTCAGAGACATAGTTGAGATATGTAAATCTACAGAAGTGGGAAAATATAACAATATTCAATATTCATGTACTTGCATTTATTTCCCCATGGACAAAATCAAGTCCCGCCCTAAATTTTTCCTTATTTAAGAATCCGTTTTACACTCGTATATAGGCCTATGCTATAAATATAAAGAAAAGACTATCGCAACTTAAGTTACATGCCGATGTATGAATGCAGTCTGGTTTGTATTTCCCTTTGCCTTACTCAGTTTGTTGCATGATTTATGAGGGCAGAATTAATACATTTGTAAGACACACATCTTTTTACAAACAAAAATATAATTGGGAAGCATTTCCTCTCCCTTTAAAAGTGTTAAGCCTGGCGTTTTATTTACTATCCTAAATATACTTGATTAAATGGCCAGTTACATTTAGGCTTGGGTATCGAGAATCGAGTATCGTTTGAACCGGGACTAACTTTTCGTTTTTCCCGGAATCGTTCAAAAGTTAAAATTTCGATTCCTAGTTTTGATATTCACAGTCCGCCGAGCGGAATAAGAAACCGTTGAACAACATCAACGAAGAAGCGTCTACCGGAAGTGTTGGCATAACCGCGTGAGTCAAACATGAGTAGCTTACGTCGGCGGTCCAAAGTGTGGCTTCACTTTTCTAAAAATAACGAAATCTCGGCAAAATGCAAAATTTGTGACAAAAGGAGTATTTGTGACAGAAGGAGTATTTCCTTCAGAAAGACCGTTGGTTAGCAAGGTTAGCTAAACTTTTTTGACCCTGCCTCTTAAAAGAATCGAAATCGAGAATCGTTCGGAACCGGAATCGAAACAAGGAATCGGAATCAGAATCGTTCAAATTCAAACGATACCCAACCCTAGTTACATTGTACTATTTATTTGTCCAATCAGAACAGAGCTACAACCCAATTTGAAGTCATCTGCTAGTTGAGAATCACTGATCTAGGTCTTAGCCTGGGAAAACTTTGGGCAAATTTGGATTAGCCAAGAGCCCTTCCAAGCCCATTTCCAATTTTTCTAAATCGAGGCACTAATCAAAAACGTTGATGCAAACTTTACATGATGACGATATCTCTAATTGGTTTTAGGTCTATCCAAATACACCCAGAGGCATTTGAGCGACGTCCGTTGATGACGCCCCTTTGGAAATGGGCTGTGAATGAACCTTCCCCAGACCAACTCTCAGTTACAACCGAGAAGGGTCTGGTGCCAACCAGGGTACTGTGTGTTGTTAACACACCCTTTGACACATCTCATACGTTTGCTGAAGAAGTCTTTACTCACCTTTGACTTCCAATCACAGAAGGATTTTCCTTTTGTGTATTTCTGTACAGTGTCATGAAGCTCTTTATTGCTTTCATAATTCTTGTATTCCTGGACTTCCTCTTTATTACCCAGATTGTGAAGGACCTCCTTTATCCTGAAGGAAAAACATTGCTGTGAAGGCATACAGTAAGTGTGAGTCCACGTCAATTCTACACATTGATCTAATCCTACTTTCAGAGAAAAAAGCTGGTGCGTATATCAGGGTTAGACAGGGAATTTATCAATGGAGGATTTACCTGACACAGTTTTACTCTTATTAATATGATGACATTGCAGCACACTGTAGAGACATCTCAAGAACTGACACAGATAGATAGATGCCAAGACAACGAAGAGGCCAAAAGTCTAGAAACAAGATCCTGCCACAGCAACTGACTGGCTCACACTACATGAGTTTTAGGCCGATTTACGCCTGATTTTCCCCTCACGATAATCGGAGAAAAAATCTTGTTGATTACCTCGATCGGTTCCGATGTTCGGCGCAGGTTATCTGGTAGTGTGAGGCTTTCACAGATCCGCGTCTTGCACCTCCCGATCTGCTCTCACACAAATCGGGCTCGCCCCGATCATATCAAACATGTTTGATATTTATCGGGATGAGCAAGATTGCGTCAGTACTGTCTAGCCAATAAGAAATAAATAGGGCTGTCGTGGTGAAGAAATTTCCATTGTTGTAATTTTGAGCTGTAATTCGGTTCTCAAATCTCATTTTTACCAAAGGCTTTCTGCTGATATTTTACCACTTGGCATTCCTCGTCTCTGCATGTTATAGACAGGCAGTCGCTCGGGGTAGTTACATTGTTACGTCTTTGAGTCATTAAACTGTTCATTCAACGGAAATGTAAAAAATGCTGATTCATTCAGATATATGAAATGAAACAAGCTGTTATTTATTTTAATATTTAATTTTAACTTTGAGCTCCACTTTACAAGACTCAGCTCAGCAGCAAGGCAGCGCATGGGCAACGCGAAGCTGATGCTTCACTTTATAAAGAGCAATGACATTTTTCATTGTATTGACCAGAGCTGACGCCATTCACTAGAAATAGCCTAACCTTAAATGTTAAATGGATGATTAGAAAAATAATAATTCTCTTTCCTTGGTCACGGCAACATTTTCACGAATATGAATTTGTAGTGTAAGCCAGGCATAAGAGGATGCAATGAAAGAGTAGACACAAGATACATCATTATTGTATACTGTAAGTAGCCTAATAGTGAAAAAACAAAGCGAAGTGAAAAGCAAGAATAAGCAGCAAAGAATTTCTTCCTAAGCATCAAACATTAATTTTGATTTACCTTTTATCATCCCAGAAATAAGGGTGATCTAAAACCTTGTGAACGGTTGGTCTCTGATCTTGGTCTTTGTTGATCATCCATTCTACGAGATCCGTTGCTTTTTTGTCAAGGTCACTGTCAAGACAATATTCACCTTTATAGATGTTCACCTCACAGCAGATGTCATCTCCAAAAGGATGTTTCCCATCAGAGATTATGTAATGGGTTAACATTCCCGCAACCTACAATAAATGAGGATCATTTGTCAGTTATCTAACAGGGAAAGCTGCACAATACTAACCACTGGACATGATTGGAGTTGCAAAAGTGCAAGAAATCAAGATTTCTATGAGCTAAAATGATAATCAAATCCTCTCTTAGCTAGATGGTCTCATGTTAGCATGACTGCAGTTTATTTTGGTATTTCACAAACCTGGATGTCTGAGCTCTTCTTGTAGCGGCCCTTTTTGGTCTGATTCAGCATCTCTGTTGCCTCCCAGCCTCGTGTACCAGCTCTGTCAGTATACACTGTGGTTTTTCCCTCCTCCAGTTTGCGACTGATACCAAAGTCAGCCAGCCTTGCCCTTTTTTCTACATCTAAAAGTAGAAATATTTTAGCTTTGAATACTTACGAATTAAAGTTAAATTCTGTCATTATTACCTCTCTCATGTCTAACCTTAATAGCATTTTTTTTTACAGTGAAAGAGAGTAAGAGAATTTTAGGGCGAGTTATCACTTTTTAAAGTAAAAGTCAACCGTATAGAATCATTTGTATTATTCGGAGATTGTTTTTAAAAATTTGTACCTATCAAAACATTTCTAGGCTTTATGTCACGATGTATCACTCCAGCGTCGTGAAGGACTTGAAGCCCAAGAAGCATCTCCTTCACTATTTTCCTCAAAGCGTAGTCATTGTCTTTTTGCTCCTGGACACGGAGTTCATCCATGTAGTCCACTAGATCGTATTCACAAAGCCGGTTTGCAAGATAGAAAAAGTCTTTATCCACTTCAAAGGTCACATATCTGACGATATACTGGCTCTCAAGCTTCAGATCTTGCAAAAGTTTCAGCTCATTTTCAATCTCTTTGTTGTTCTTTGGGTTCTTTGTTATTAATTTAATGGCCACCTCAATGCCATCTTTCCTCAAGCCAATATATACTTGTGCGCCGCTTCCACTAGGGCTAATCATGTACTTCTCATCTTTTTTAAAGTAGAGATTCCCCACTTTTTCAATGTCAGTCTCTTTTAACAGCCCCTCTAGTTTTGTACCATGTCTTATGGAGGATATGTTGCACCCGGGGATTTGTTTCTCCTCTGTCGTTTGTTCAATAGTTTGCACTTGTACTGTTTCTGCATGTTGAGGGGGAGATTCAATTTTCCGTAATTTTGATGAGGTCTGTCCCGAAGACCTTGGAATCCCTTGTTGAACTCCTACATAAATATAAATTATATAAGAAAATATATTATTTATAAGACCAAGAGGCTTGCAAATGTTTTTCCATTGTTTCTTTATAGAACATTTATTTACTTTCAAAGTTGGATATCTCAATTGCACAACAGAGCATAATGTTGTACTTGTTGACAATGGAATTATTATTACGCAAACTCACAATTTAATCCAAGAAGTAGCATTAGCATATGCAACATGAGAATAAATATCCATTCAACGTTAGAATCTGTGCTGGGTTCTGAAAATCTGGGTTTTGTCTTGTATGTGTTGTTAAATGTTTAGTATTTACTAATCTCTCTCACCTTTTCGTTCAAGATCTTTAACCAGTAAATTCTGCTGGTCTTTAAGCAAACTGTAAAAAGCAGATTTTGCTTTGTCAGAGTTTAGAGTCTTAAGGAGCTCTCTCATTTTATCCATTGGTGTAGTGGCTGCATGAATCTTTGAGTATGTTTCAGAGCCAATTATTGCAGCAGCCATCATTACATCAGCAATGGGCATCACAGTAGTAACCCTCTGGATAAGATCTGCACTCCAATAGTCCACAAATTGAGCATCTGAAAAACAAATGACAGTTAAACCAGAATATTTCCCAACATGCACTGTGAGTATTGCAGAGAGGAAACATCCATTCAAGTGGATCGAGTCGTGTGCATTGACTGCGCATTAAAGCCAGTGGTGTTTTGATTGCAAACTTGGTTCTGCCACGGAATAAGAAGTCAAATTTTGTATTCTGTGGCATAAATAAGCTTCCGTAGTTTTGCGTTGTACAGTATGTGTTGACAAATGTTTAAAATTACTAAATCTCTCTCACCTTTTTGTTCAAGATCTTCAACCAGGTTTGGATTCCTAGTTTTCAACTCATTGTAAAAAGCATATTTTGTGTTGTCAGTGCCCAGAGCATGTAAGAGGACTTTCATTTTATTCACATCTGTAGACGAATTCAGAATCTGTGAGTATATTTGTTGCTGAATTATTGCATCGTCTTTCAATGCATCAGCAATGGGCATGACAAAATGAACCCTCGGGATGAGATCTTCACTGTGATGTTTCACAAAAAGAACATCTGAAATAAAAAACGACATTAGCTGAAGATCAGTTTATGCATCATAGTGAGCTTATGCAGAATGTTGCATATGAACTGCATTTGTAATTTGCCAGTCTGTGGTGGACGTGAGTTGGAGTGTCACTTTGAACTTACGCAGCTTCTCCATTATTTTGATTCAGCGTCTGAAAAACTATAAGTCCTGAAAACCTAATCAAAAGATGAAAGCTGCGAAAACAGAAGTAACATGTTGATTAGAAGAATATACAGCAAATCTATACTATACACAATTAATGTGCATACAATCCATCCCATGTGAATGTCAGTATTCAAACATCATGCATGGTTTGCAACTCGCTAAACATGGTTAGGCTATGCGGCTCAAACACGTCACAATTACTTACAGGCAAAACTAGTCTAAATTGTAATTTAATCAATTAGGTATTCTTTGTAATAATAAATAATAATAATTATTATTATTAACAACAATTATGAGTATAATAGTGTAACATCTCCCTTAATTTACGATGATACATCTGGAGGTTTTTTGATAGCTTATTTTATGTAAGTTACCCAGACAGCAAACTGACATTGAATCAACGTGGAAACGACGTCTCTCATCATGACATTGAAACAACGTTGATTTTGCTCATCGAATTAACGTTGAACCAACGTCAAACGCGGCATTCTTCAAAGCTAAATGAAAATCGAAAATTGGTTTGCATTCATAACGTTGAAACAACGCGTTGATTTCAAGTTGATTTTCCGTTAGTTTTGAAAGAATGACGCGTCTGACGTTGGTTCAACATTAATTCGATGAGCAAAACTAAACAATGTCAGATCAACGTTGTTTCGATGTCATATTTCCACCTTGATTCAATGTCAGTTTGCTATCTGGGTAATGTTAACGTTACTTGCCGGCTTTTTTTATCATTTAAATTTGTCTGGGTGGCTAATAACACATTTTTCTGTGGTGTGAAAAACTCAGAAACACATAGCTACTTAATTTTGACTTTACAGAAACTTTACGAGTTTTCTGTTAAAACGGTGTCGTGTTAGCGTTAATAACAAATAACTTAATAACTTATGATCGTTACGACGGAAGTGAATCAATTAACGTTACAACCATAGTATACCACAGTATAAGATTAAAACTAACTTTAGCTGGAAAATAACTATTCTAGAGCTGTCATAAAGCCAAAACAATCTATGTTACTTTAATTTACTATTATCACTGTGTCAGCACAATATAAAACAACTTCACGCAGGTAACGTTAAAAAAGACATTTAAGCAATCTTATTAACGTTACATCTTTCTCCTCACCTAAAGCAGAAAAAAGAGTCGTTCTTTTAACCCGGATATTTTCCTTCTTATGATTCCAAGCGAACAGAAATCACAAGAGTTTAGAGGGGTTGTCATACAGACAGTAACTGAAAGATGGTTATGGAATCTCATGACGGTTTCTTCCTTTTTCCTTTGTTTAATGTCATTTGATTTAACTAACGCAGGATTCTATTGGCCATTCAACTCCACTTGTCAGAGAGCAGAAAGCCCAGTGATTGGTTTAAAGAACTGCCAATCAAAGCACTCTACATGACTCTGCTCCGGTCTGCTGCTCTGCAGTTTGTTGTGGGCTGAAACGCATGAACACAGAGAGTTCACCACAGTCCGTACATGCTTGTTAACCTGAAATGGATATGGATGAGAAGCCAAAATACGGCAAGTTTATTTTGGTTTTATGTTTGCTGCTGTCTGTATTGAAAGTGTATGATTTGGTGTTATTAAGAGCCCTCCTCAAACATTAAGGCTACCAAACAGAAACTGAAATTCATTTAATAACTTCGCTGCCGCTAATAGTAAGCACTGTTACATGTTGTTTTGACTCAATATGCCGCGTTAATGTGAAAAAAAAAACCAGCTATGTTATGAGTAATAAAAATGTTGTGTTAGTAAGGCAACGCCTAAACCCCTGTTATTTAACGTTACGATGTCAGAGTTTGGGATTTGCTTTGCTACTTTAACTCGGGTTATGTGTACATATTTTCTTAACGTTACTCCTAACAGTCTTATCTGTAAACGTTTGTCGCTAATTTGTGTAGCTTACTTATTTGTAGTTACTGTAAACAAATAAATCCTGTGCTTTCATCACACGTGACAGCATGGCTGGAATGAATGTGTTCAGTTGTACTATAATAGTCTACATGTTATTTTTTAATTGTTATAATTATTATAAGATAATTATAAGAACTAAAGCTGTGTGACTGGAAAGATGGAATATGAGAGAACTGTAAAGCAAATACAGGAAAGTTGTGTCACAGGGTAAAACCACACAGACATATGAACTACACAGCTGTTGTGAGTAAGAACATCTCATTGTGGACACATGGAAACCATCGAAAGGGTCAATTGTTGTTTTAATAGTTTGCATGTGATTTTCTGTTGGAAACTCCTTGCTACGTTGCTTTTACAAGAACGTTGTTGCTCGTTTAGGTTAAAAGTCAATATTTGGAACAATTGTGTTGGGAAAAAAAAACTTTAGCCTTGGTTTTACTTGTGTATATATCCTTGCAAAGTATCTGGGAACCAAAGTCATAGAGCACAGAGTCTGCTCTCGAGTGGGAGTGCATGTTCTGGTAATTAAAGGGTGGAATATAGGATGGTGTTTTTAAAGATATAAAATAAGGCTTACTTTTAAACTTAAAGCTGTACTTATGTGCTATTTCTGCTGCTGAGAGACTGAGTGCGATGGCAGCTGTTTCAAATTAGGGAAGGGATAACTCTCATTCTGTGGGACTTCTCAAATAGGCTAGTTTGTGGGCAATGTTCGTCACCGAATTATATTTTATAGCCTATTGCCTAATTTGTATTGTATTTATTTATTTATAAAGCATATTTCATGCTACACAGTAACTCCAAATTGCTGAACAATACAAATAATATAAACTATTTCAATGAGAATTGTTTAGCAGGCCAAATACGATCTAAATCTGTTTTTAATGGACGGACGCACATGCTTAAGTTAAAGCTCCTTTTAACATTTTTTTTTTATGAATTGAACCAATGGAGGATCTCTAGGCCTATATTGTGCATTTCTATTAGTTAAATCGATAATTTACCGTGCAAAACAGTTTTGCCTGGTTCTAAAACAAAAATAAATGGCCATTGAAATAAAATATAAATGAGCTTTTTGCAATCAGGTCTTTATATCTTTTGCTGCAAGGCTTTACATGCTTGTCGTCTTGCTAACTCGTGTTATAGCTCTTGTTGTTAGACTTCTTCTCATCACATTCTGAACTGCTGATAGCAGCTTTCCTTCCATTAGTCTTTTAGTACTAGTGGAAGTGCTATTGATTTCATTTCTTACTTTTCTCATTTTTTCATGAGCAATGACTATATTGAACGTTTCTGGTCATTTGGAAATGTTTCAACATTTGCAAGAAAGCAAAAATAATTCGAAAAATCTTTGACTTCTTATTTTTCCTGCCATCTCATGTTTTGTCCATTTAGGGGCTCCACAGAGAAGTCATTATTATTACAGCTTAAAGCTGCAGTCTGCTGTTTTCCCTCTTTGTCGCCATCTCTGTTCAAAATCTGCAATTGCAGTCATTTGCGGAATTATAAACTTTACGCGAGTTGTGCTTCGACACCCTCGACATGGCACAGCGTGGATGAACATAATGTTTGAGGAGAGTGTGCAGCTGTCAGTCACCGCGCCAGTGTGAATACTGGCATTCAGAATCACAGATTATTCTATTTGAAAGTATGACCAACATAATAATTTTGTGACGTAATGACACAAAGACATTCTTGAATCTCACGCTGAAATCCACCAGCTTACCGCTTTGAATTGAGCTAAGGCAAGCAGATAGTTTTAAACACTGGCTGGTTATGTATTTTCTCAAATGAATGTTTTGGATAATTTTTAACCCCTCAAAAAGCTATGGACTGCAGCTTTAAGAAAAATGATGGCTTAGGACTTAAATAATGTATATATTTTTCTTATAGTAAAAATGCTTTAATGGGGTGGTCTATTATGATTTCACTTTTCTAGCTTTTGTTAGTGTGTAATGCTACTGTTCGAGCATAAATAACATCTGCAAAGTTAGGACGCTCAAAGTTCAAAGCAAATGGAGATATTTATACACTTCTTGAGTCTTACCATCTTTGGCGGATTCTGTTTTGAACATAAAAGGCTAAAAGTTTTATAAAATTTCAGTGCATGTCCGTGTGAAGAGGTAGGCTAATCGAAGCTCCGCCCTCTGTGCCGGGAGCAGTAGCTCATTTGCATTAAAGGGACAGACATAAAACAATGTGTTTTTGCTCACCCTCAAAAAGTGACAACTTTAACATGCTATAGAAATAAAAACATTTTAATAAATTAGTTTTATTGTAAAAATAGAAATATCTCTGGGGCTAAAACTTCACATACACACTCTAGTGACATCAGAGATTTATTTTACATCTTGTGAAAAGGTGTATGTACCACCCCTTTAAACAGGGTTATCATAGTTAACAAAAAAAAAATTGGAACTTATGAACAACCTAAACTTACTCAATTTCATAATTCATATTAATAAAACAAACTTTATTGGTATCTCAGTGATAACTAAAACTGCTCTGTAGATTTTCATCAGATTTGGCAACATGCAGTTACTGAAAACAGTCAGTTTTTGATTGATATCAGTTTTCATTTCCTATTTTGTCTGAATCTAAGCGGAATTGAGCCAACTCGTTTGTCGCTTTAATAAAATTACATAACCAGCTTTATGAGATGCACATGAGCAGGTCCCATTAGATATTGTGAAAGCTTTTGTGAAAGGCCATTAGATATTGTGAAAGCTTCAAAAAAAGGAAAGCTTTTCTTTTTTCACCTTTTGATGTTCCACCTTTTTTGCATAATAAGTTACAGCAAGGGGGTTGTTCTTGTTCCTAAAAAAACAAAACAAAACATATAGTATTAAATGTTGTGCTAGACAGCTAGCAACCAAGCTGCCCTTTTCAAACAAGTCAAAGTATTTGGATCCTTAAAAATATCTGAATCTGAATATCTCACTGATTTCACATACTGATAAACCTCCACCGAAAGCAGGTTGTCCGTGACCTAAACCAGAAGTTCGAATGTTTGTTCAAAAGATGCCACTCACGTTGGTAATGGCTCGAGACATTTGCACGATGAAGTTGGTTTGCAAAAGCATCTGCAAGACAAAATGACTCTAAACCGAGTCAGGTGTCATAATGTCGTCACACCCAGCTCTGATCCCTCCTGATGTTAGAGACCCAAAACTGCTCCGTTTAGTCCTTCAGAGACAAAAGAAACAATTCAGAAAGGACACAAAGCCAAGTTTAGAAAGATCAAATGAGAGAAACCCAATATTTTCTAGCTTGAAAGGGTGGTGTTTAGTTCAGCTTAAACCTGTTCAACCAGTTTTCAACAGCAGAAAGTTGTTTTCCCGCTTCAATTCAGGAAGTTAAAGTCAGATAGACGGCTGAAGGACTTTCCCTTTACATTGAGGAAAGATTATCAGATCATCAGTGCCACTGAACACCAAGATGCAAGGGGAGGAAGGTGCTTACAAAAAAAGCGGTAACGTCTCTCTCTTGATGATATCTCCTCAAGTATGCAAGGTTTTTTTTATTGGTTTTGACGTGGACAAACCCTTTGACGCTGTCTTTGTGTAACTTACCACAAGTTGTCCTAGTTGTGAGTAAAGGTAAAAATGGCAGTGTTTAGCTGAATCTAAACTCTATGTGCAGTCAGCCTGCTTGGTTCACCATGGTTTCCCATAACGTTGGATATTTCAGTGACACTCACTCTCAGAATGAAAAGCTGTCTTGGGAGGTACACTTTCAAAAGGTACACCTTTTTACAATATTTACTCCTCAAGGATGCACATTAATACCTTAAAGGTGCATATTAGTACCTTTTGGAAGGGTACCGTACTACTAGCTTTTTTTTTTCCAGAGAGTGCTCTAATGGCAGTACTGTTGGCTTGTATGCCATTAGCCTTATGCGGTCATTTAGTGCATTAGTAAAAGTGTGTTAACACTGCGTTAGTCATACTAGGCCTTTTTCCATCTTCACAATACCCTGGTCTGCTTGGGAACTGAAGCACTCAGTCTTTGCATGCCTACTAGGGTGTGGATGTTTACAGTCAGATCCAACAGCAGAAATTCCCATGGCAGTGTCTTGCCTTTAAGTGGTGAGGGTTTGATGTTTTAGCAATCCACAGCAGTTGCTTTCGTTCTTAGATGACAAAAATATTGTAATGGAGCTTACTTGTATAACAAAAAGTTGAATGATATTATAGCAACAACCAAGGCTATAAGCATTTAATTAGTCCACAACCATAATAAACCAAGACACTTACTACTACTAGCTACCATTTAATGCATTTCACATCTGCCTTTCTAATCTCTTGTATAGTAAACTTGGCATTGTGTACTATGAAGGATGTCAGGTCTTATGACCAAATACTGGTGGTGTTTCTCATTTTGCATAAAAGCGTATGCTAAATCAATAAATGTAGTCCATTATGTTGATCACTTTTTTTATGCATGTTTTTTTCGTGGATGTCTGAGACATAAACAGAGCCAGCACACGCAATACATTTTTTTTACTAAGTAAATGGAAAGATTGTACCAGTTATTTCTGCACCAAAGCTCTGTGGTTGGCAAAGCAGAGCATTTGCACATCTGTTCTTAGTTTATTGCAGTTCACAAGATGAGAGGAGAGTGGCCTCAAAAAGTACAGTTTTTGGACTCACTTGAACTAACAGTTATCAAAGCAAGTGGCCCAACATGGGCTCATCATCAACCGCTCTTCTCTGAAATAATACTTCTCTTTTCTGAGCCATTTTTGTATGGAACTGGAAGTGGTTTCAAAGTGGTTCGCAAAAACTCTTTTTTTGTTTTGAAATCTGTTGGTTAAACATTTAAAACCCAAATGTTTTTGTGAAATCCTGAAATGCATGAAAAAGTGCTTGTGCAATCTTTTAAACAATTTTAATTGTATGCAAGTTTAAACAAATTCAGCTGGATTGACATTATTTTCGAATGCAATGGCATTCAGATATATTTTTAAGTGTGGCATAAGGATCCAAATACTTCCCAGATGACTCATTGTTTGAGCTAAATTAACTTAACAGGGCAGCTTGGTTACTAGCTGTTTAGCACAACATTTCATACTACATGTCTTATTTATTTTGGGAGCAACCCCCCTGCTCTGTTAACAAACAGCAACAAATGTGCATTAAAAAGCATGCTTGGCTTACCTTTTATGTGCCAGTAATAGGAAGCTCCATTCTAGGGCTGTAAATTAAGAAATATTTCCAAAACAACACATGAGGGATGTTGTGGTTTCTGGCACAACTAGACTAGACATTTTCTGAAGAAAATGTGGGTGGTGTTTAGCGGTGTTTGCCCATATATAAGTTGCTATCACAAGTTCACTAATGACTTCTGGTGGTTGACACATTGTGCTTAATCGTGCTAACAAACGCCTGACTGAGCAAAATTATGCCCTGTAAGAGAGTGGTTATCTGTAGTGAAATCTTACATGGATGCCTTGTGGTCTAACAATGTCTGGAATATTGACTGATTCAGTTGGGTCGTATTTAATTTAGTTTCTCCTTGTTGTTCTCACAGGAGAGCCCAAAAAATATGACCCCAACTTCAAAGGGCCCATCCAAAACAGGTAAGAGTCAAACTGATTTGTTTTTAATAGCTAGATTTTGCTTAAACATCAAAATTATAGCTCACACTCACACAAAATGTCATTGTTTACTCGCTCTCATGTCGCTCCAAACCTGACTTACTTTCTTATGTGAAACACAAATAGATTATTTGATGAATATTCATTTCACACTGCTCTTATTTTTGTCCTAAACAATAAGTGAGCAGGGACTCTCACGCTCCAAAAAGCCCCAAGTGTCATAAAAGTTCATAATGCTCATGTGCCAAATTCCAATCCCATAGCAGACTAAAGTCAGTTGTTAATTGCCAAAAATCATTTATGCTTTTTAACTCATTCCCACATTTGGTACAATTTTCCTGTGCTGCTAATCTTCAAAAGATATGCAAGAACCAATAGAGTAGTTTATCAGCACTGATGTCAAACCTTTATTAGTTAGAAGATTTTACATGCAAATGATGTTGGTTCGTCATATGACATTGATACATTTGTCCTGTAGTGTTAAAGCATGTTGTAACAGGCCGTTTCTTTCTGCACCACAGGGGATGTACAGACATTATTTGCTGTATCTTCTTCATCGTGGCCATAGTGGGCTACGTCGCAGTGGGAATACTGGGTAAGTCAGTCTGCAATAGTGTAATGAACTGGGTATTGTGTAACAATGAACCTTTTAATTTGATATGCAGTGATGAGCGTCTGTGTGTGTGTGCATGTTAGGACTGTGTGATTCAGGTGGCTAAAAGTCTCTCGGAGATATTTAATATAATCTATTTGCTCAAAATTGAGCTGTTTTAACTTTCTCATACTCGCACATCTCACATGGTTTTGGAAAGGTAATGGGTACACAAAAAGCGCATTAAAATCTGTCAAAAGCTTGTGTGTGTTAAATACTCATCATTTCTGTCTTGCACCCTCAGCCTGGACTCACGGTGACCCGAGGAAGGTGATCTACCCCACAGACAGCATGGGACAGTACTGCGGCCAGGGAAATCTGGAGTAAGTCTCACAAATATAAGATTAGAATGACTTTTGTCGCTCCAGGTTTGACATCACATCATGGGCCCTATTTTAACGATCTGAAACACAAGTATCAAGCGCGAGGTGCAAGTAACTTTGGGCGGGTCTTGGGCGCAAGTTTAAAAGGGGTTGGTCTGAAAGTAGCTTCGTTGTTCATAGGTGTGGTTTGGGCATAACGTGAAATAAACCAATCAGAGCGTCATCCAACATACCCTAAGAGCAGGTGCACACGTTGCATGACGGATTGTTATTATTATGGCGGATTTACCTGGAGCGTTCACAGCCGAGGGGACCGATGTTCTTGTCAGGGCATTGAAAGACAGAGAAGTGACGTTATATGGGGATGGGAGAAACCCACCCAAATCAGCGTCGGTAAAACATTGGGTACTATTGGTACATGCCACTATTGGGTAAACAGGTCTGATCCGTCTCTATAATTAGTCTGAAAAAAATGGGTAAATATCTAAGCTAGATTTAGGCCTACATTTTTTTTTTCATCTTCATGGAAATCACAATGATGTGTTAATATTTTTCCTTGTTATAATGTATGATTTGCAAAAATAAAAGCTGCTGCATCTGTGTTGATGAGAAAATCCAAGTGTATGCGTTGTGCATTGTAGCGGACATTATGGCCATGCATGAGCGCTTAAAACAGCATTATGAACAATTAACGTGCAACTGACTTTAGACTAGGTTTTTTCTGGACAGTGACGCAATTGTTTCCTGGAATTGAAAAAAAGCACTAGGGAATGTTTGCACCGAAACACGCCTCCTTTTTGCGCCAACCCGCCCAGGGAGCGCAAGTTCATTTCCTAGTTTACCGACGTGCGTCTGTGGAGAGAAAAGCTTGCTTTGCGCGTGTGCAAAATAGCAATGAGACACGCAGGGTGCAAGATAGAGCCCCATATAACCTTACTTTTTGTTTTTAAGGATTTGCAAAAATTAATTTGCAAATCTTTTGAGATTGTATCAATGACATTGTGGTGGTGGATGGACATCAGTAGGTGGTGATGTTGAAGATTTTATTATTTAGAAAACAAGTAATTTAGCTATTAGAATACACAATTATTTCCTCTGTGTGTGACTTTGGATTTTCTCTGTGTGTAACTGGAAGAAGCCTGTAAAAAGACCTTGAAAGTTGAGACAGCAGTCGATTCTATTCTGAGAAGTCACATGGTATAAGATATTTACGCAAAACTATCTATAGGGTGTCTGACCTTCTATGGAAGAAGATGTATGTATGTACCCAAAAACACTCTGGAGCGCCAAAGTGTAGAGCGTTAGAGCGCCGTTCTAAGTCTAATTATTTCTGGCATCAAAGATCTCTGCGAAGTTATTTACAGAACAATTGAAACCACTTCGGTGACGGGTTACTGTTAAAAAAAGCATTTGAAATTAAATCATTACTTGAAGTTTGTTCAAAAACACTGATTCATCCAGTAAGTCTAAAAAACAATTTAAAATTATATAAAATATTTTTAAATAGACTGCAAATTTCAAGAAACTCTACTAAATTACGTTATTTTGTTTAGTTGTTTGTTCAGAATCGTGTAAACAAAACACACACAAAAAAATCACAACTCTTAATGTATCCTTAATCATGCAGTTCTAGCATACAGTAAAAATGCATTTTCCAGAAAAAAAAATGTTCAAGGCACACTTTTGTGTGATGTGTCAGTGAAATAAATTCACTTAATTGAACATATGTTTTTGTGACGTGTGTAACAGGAAGCAGCCGTTGTTGTTCTACTTTAACATGATGAAGTGTGCCAGTCCCATGGTCCTCCTAGAGTTCCAGTGTCCCACTCCTCAGGTTTGTGTCCTCTACACCCCATCTGTTTCACTCTTAAAAGGGTCTTATCTAGCGAAACAAACGGTCATTTAAAAAAATAAATAAAAAAGTTTAAGTTTTATAAGCACAAATGCTCGCCCTGCTCTGTTCTGTGATGAGTGTTCGTGACTCTCCTGTCCGAACTCGTTTTCAAATCTTTTTTCGAGTCATGACTTGAAGGGTCCTAAATAAGGACCCCTTATTCATCATCTGGTGTCGTTTAAAGCCCTTTGAAGCTGCACTGAAACTCTCATTTGGACCTTGAACCGTTTGGACCCCATTGAAGTCCATTATATGGAGAAAATCCTGGAAAGTTTTCATCAAAAACCTTAATTTCTTTTCGACTGAAGAAAGAAAGTCGTGGACCTCTTGGATGACATGGGGGTGAATAAATTATCAGCAAAAGTTTTTTTAAAAGTGAACTACTCCTTTAATATTCAGTAATATTATCAATTTGAGTGGCTGCACTGATACAATGGAAATGAGAACAAAACTTGAACTCAATTCAACTGCATGATAACACTATTGTCTTCTGCTTTATAGCTGAATCAAATGCGTTTAACTCACAAATTGTCCTACATTGACACTTTGATTAAACTTAATTAACACTGAACTGACTCAAGCTAAATATCGACCCTTATTTCCCTCTGTTTACCGCTGAACTGAACACTTTTCAAAACTGATGAACTTTACAGTTAATCAGCTGAATCCACACTGAACTGACTTGAGCTGAATTTGTCATATTTAATGAAGTTTGCATCATGATCTGTTCTCTCGCTTACAATTATGAAGCTGCTTTGAAACGTTCTTCATTGTAGAAATAAAGGTGACATGCATGTGCAGTGTACAACCAGGGCACTGTTGGGAATACTGTATCCCATTTTTTTGTTACATGTATATTTTTTTTAAATTATTTTAATAGGTTCCTTAAGGGTCCACTTGTAATGTTGATAAAGTTTTTTTTGAACACACACAACCCTCATTCTTCCCCTTGGCTACTTTAAAATCCAGTGAACAGTTGTGAAGTCCCTCAATATCCCAACATCCATGGGAGCTTGATTAAATAAAGGCTTTTTTGTTATATTATAAGAAGGACAATTAGGACATTTTAAGCTATGAAACCTGACAGTCAAACCTGTATAAATCTTTATCAAATTGTTCTCTTTCTGTGTTTAGGTGTGCGTAGAGAAATGCCCTAACCGCACCATGACTTTGCTAAATGCCAAATTAAATCCATCCGATTGGAAAGAATACAAACAATTTTGCAGAGAAGACCCTGGAAATAAGGTAAGTTGTGTTTTTTTTTAACATCAAGGTTTTGTTTGCAAGTAACTAGAGTTTGTACATTTCTAATGACTGACCAATTCTGTCTCCCTCTAAAGCCTGTGCCGCAAATTTTGCAAGAAAAACTGTGTCCTGCATATCTGATCTCCAGCAAACCATGTGAGACTCTTGTTCTTATTATTACACTTTTAATATTTATTGGGAATTATTGCAAATTGAGTTTTAATGTCTGCGTTACATAATGCTATTGTTCCTCTCAGTTTTGCAACGGTGTTTTCCGTCTCTGGGCAAAAAGGGTGAAGTCATCACTGTGGGCGATCAGGAGACATTTAATGATGGAGAGAAGACAAGAGATGCCAAAGACCTAGTGGCCGGGATGAAGTAAACATGTTTATAACACTCAAACATACGTTTGCAAGAAAATAACTCATTTGCATGCCATTACTGCAGATGCAATTGGGCTATTTATTATAAATCCATGTTTGCTTTGACAATCGCAGGAACGCCACAATAGTCATGGAGGGTCGACAAGTTGCAATGAAGATCTTTGAGGATTACACAAAGTCTTGGTACTGGATCCTAATGTAAGTCATTACATTAAGTATATTTTTGATAGAAATTTACTCTTTTTATTTTTAATTATTTATTTAAATTAAATGCTAATATTTGGATCTGTGTTCTTTTAATATCATCAATATACTGGAGTATAATAGTATTATTCATATTTTTTTATTAGATTTCATTTTTTCAGCTTATTACAATTTTATTGGAGTTTAATTAGTTTGTTGTAGTCATTTTGTTGGTTTTATTATTATGCTTTTAGTAATATGTCTGTTTAATTTTTTTGTTGTTTTCAGTTTTAGATTGATTATTTTCAGTCGTAATTTGAGTAATTTTAGTTAAACTGAAGGAAAATTAGAAATGTTGGCTTTGAAACTAGCTGAAATAAAGTATAACAGATTTGTGTTTCTATTAACGTAAAAAAAATTTTTTATATTAAATAATTTTAGGTTGATGGTAATTACAGTGGTTTAGATACTTCCTTCCTGCTGTGAACAAGTGTTACTCTGTTTCTTTCTGCAGTTGTTTGTTGATTGCTGTGGTGTTGAGTCTGATCTTCATCGTTCTCCTGCGGTATCTGGCTGGAATCATGGTCTGGGTCATGATCATCATGGTCGTCGCTGTCATTGCCTATGGTAACGTAATATACACTAATATACATTTATCTGCTGCAGTACATCTGTTGATACAAAACAAAGAACACAAAATCCAGATCCAACTCCTCCCACTTTTCCTAATCCTACCCATCTCCACCCCCTGATCCCTAACCCCACCCCTAATCCTAGCCATCTCAACCCCCTGATCCCTAACCCCACTCCTAATCCTACCCATCTCCACCTCCTGATCCCTAACCCCACCCTAATCCTACCCATCTCCACCCCCTGATCCCTAATCCTACCCATCTCCGCCCTGATCCCTAACCCCACCCCTAATCCTACACATCCAACCCCACCCCTGATCCAACTCTGCCCTCTGTTATAATTTTAGGTTGATCCCTAACCCCACCCCTAATCCTATCTATCTCCACCCCCTGACCCCTAACCCTACTGCTAATCCTACCCATCTCCACCTCCTGATCCCTAACCCCACCCCTTATCCTATCTATCTCCACCCCCTGATCCCTAACCCCACTCCTAATCCTATCTATCTCCACCCCCTGATCCCTAACCCCACCGCTAATCCTACCCATCTCCACCTCCTGATCCCTAACCCCACCCCTAATCCTACCCATCTCCACCCCCTGATCCCTAACCCCACTCCTAATCCTATCCATCTCCACCTCCTGATCCCTAACCCCACTCCTAATCCTATCCATCTCCACCTCCTGATCCCTAACCCCACTCCTAATCCTATCCATCTCCACCTCCTGATCCCTAACCCCACCGCTAATCCTACCCATCTCCACCTCCTGATCCCTAACCCCACCCCTAATCCTACCCATCTCCACCCCCTGATCCCTAACCCCACTCCTAATCCTATCCATCTCCACCTCCTGATCCCTAACCCCACTCCTAATCCTATCCATCTCCACCTCCTGATCCCTAACCCCACTCCTAATCCTACCCATCTCCACCTCCTGATCCCTAACCCCACCGCTAATCCTACCCATCTCCACCCCCTGATCCCTAACCCCACTCCTAATCCTATCCATCTCCACCTCCTGATCCCTAACCCCATCGCTAATCCTACCCATCTCCACCTCCTGATCCCTAACCCCACTCCTAATCCTATCCATCTCCACCTCCTGATCCCTAACCCCACCGCTAATCCTACCCATCTCCACCCCCTGATCCCTAACCCCACCCCTAATCCTACCCATCTCCACCCCCTGATCCCTAACCCTACCCCTAATCCTACCCATCTCCACCCCCTGATCCCTAACCCCACTCCTAATCCTATCCATCTCCACCTCCTGATCCCTAACCCCACCGCTAATCCTACCCATCTCCACCCCCTGATCCCTAACCCCACTCCTAATCCTATCCATCTCCACCTCCTGATCCCTAACCCCACCGCTAATCCTACCCATCTCCACCTCCTGATCCCTAACCCCACTCCTAATCCTATCCATCTCCACCTCCTGATCCCTAACCCCACCGCTAATAGACCAACGCCACTTTTGCGTTATCGAAGGGTAACGCCCCCTTTTGGGGGAAAACACCTCTATACTGTCTATGGGAAAACAAACGGATTCCCATGAGAACAGAACTCGCACTAGATCTGCAAAGTTTCTTGATAGCAAAAATGGCACAAACTTAAAGAAGCTAACGTTACTGAATACGGGGTTACAGAGGTGTCCCTTTGAAATGGTCGAAAACTGGATTAATGACCCCACACAGCGGCCAAATATGGACTATTCAGACATCTAACGTTACCACTATCTCGTGGAATCACCAAGTAAGTTAAGCACGTAGCATTTTTTTCATTAACACTCACATTATGACAAACTAGACGATGAATGGATCATATTTAACTTGATTTAAGCTATTGACATAGTCTAATTAAGTAACGTTAGCTGCTAACAGCTTAGTCTTTCTAATAGCTAGTCGACAACAAAACTGTCAATAGCTTAAATCAAGTTAAATATGATCCAAGTGACATGGCCTCATCGTCTAGTAGTTTGTCATAGGCTACTGTGAGTGTGTAAATGATAAATAAATAAATAAATAAATAAAAAGGCTAACGGTTACTTACTTGGTGATTCCACGAGATAGTGGTAACGTTAGATGTCTGAATAGTCCATATTTGGCCGCTGTGTGGGGTCATTAATCCAGTTTTCGACCATTTTAAAGGGACACCTCTGTAACCCCGTATTCAGTAACGTTAGCTTCTTTAAGTTTGTGCCATTTTTGCTATCAAGAAACTTTGCAGATCTAGTGCAAGTTCTGTTCACATGGGAATCCGTTTGTTTTCCCATAGACAGTATAGAGGTGTTTTCCCCCAAAAGGGGGCGTTACCCAACGATGACGCAAAAGTTGCGTTGGTCTATCCTACCCATCTCCACCCCCTGATCCCTAACCCCACCCCTAATCCTACCCATCTCCACCCCCTGATCCCTAACCCCACTCCTAATCCTACCCATCTCCACCTCCTGATCCCTAACCCCACCCCTAATCCTACCCATCTCCACCCCCTGATCCCTAACCCCACCCCTAATCCTACCCATCTCCACCTCCTGATCCCTAACCCCACCCCTAATCCTACCCATCTCCGCCCACTGATCCCTAATCCTACCCATCTCCGCCCCTGATCCCTAACCCCACCCCTAATCCTACACATCCAACCCCACCCCTGATCCAACTCTGCCCTCTGTTATAATTTTAGGTTGATCCCTAACCCCACCCCTAATCCTATCTATCTCCACCCCCTGACCCCTAACCCTACTGCTAATCCTACCCATCTCCACCTCCTGATCCCTAACCCCACCCCTTATCCTATCTATCTCCACCCCCTGATCCCTAACCCCACTCCTAATCCTATCTATCTCCACCCCCTGATCGCTAACCCCACCGCTAATCCTACCCATCTCCACCTCCTGATCCCTAACCCCACCCCTAATCCTACCCATCTCCACCCCCTGATCCCTAACCCCACTCCTAATCCTATCCATCTCCACCTCCTGATCCCTAACCCCACTCCTAATCCTATCCATCTCCACCTCCTGATCCCTAACCCCACCGCTAATCCTACCCATCTCCACCTCCTGATCCCTAACCCCACTCCTAATCCTATCCATCTCCACCTCCTGATCCCTAACCCCACCGCTAATCCTACCCATCTCCACCCCCTGATCCCTAACCCCACTCCTAATCCTATCCATCTCCACCTCCTGATCCCTAACCCCACCGCTGATCCTACCCATCTCCACCCCCTGATCCCTAACCCCACCCCTAATCTTACCCATCTCCACCCCCTGATCCCTAACCCCACCCCTAATCCTACCCATCTCCACCCCCTGATCCCTAACCCCACCCCTAATCCTACCCATCTCCACCCCCTGATCCCTAACCCCACTCCTAATCCTACCCATCTCCACCTCCTGATCCCTAACCCCACCCCTAATCCTACCCATCTCCACCCCCTGATCCCTAACCCCACCCCTAATCCTACCCATCTCCACCCCCTGATCCCTAACCCCACCCCTAATCCTACCCATCTCCACCCCCTGATCCCTAACCCCACCCCTAATCCTACCCATCTCCACCCCCTGATCCCTAACCCCACTCCTAATCCTACCCATCTCCACCTCCTGATCCCTAACCCCACCCCTAATCCTACCCATCTCCGCCCACTGATCCCTAATCCTACCCATCTCCGCCCCTGATCCCTAACCCCACCCCTAATCCTACACATCCAACCCCACCCTGATCCAACTCTGCCCTCTGTTATAATTTTAGGTTGATCCCTAACCCCACCCCTAATCCTATCTATCTCCACCCCCTGACCCCTAACCCTACTGCTAATCCTACCCATCTCCACCTCCTGATCCCTAACCCCACCCCTTATCCTATCTATCTCCACCTCCTGATCCCTAACCCCACCCCTTATCCTATCTATCTCCACCCCCTGATCCCTAACCCCACTCCTAATCCTATCTATCTCCACCCCCTGATCCCTAACCCCACCGCTAATCCTACCCATCTCCACCTCCTGATCCCTAACCCCACCCCTAATCCTACCCATCTCCACCCCCTGATCCCTAACCCCACTCCTAATCCTATCCATCTCCACCTCCTGATCCCTAACCCCACTCCTAATCCTATCCATCTCCACCTCCTGATCCCTAACCCCACCGCTGATCCTACCCATCTCCACCTCCTGATCCCTAACCCCACTCCTAATCCTATCCATCTCCACCTCCTGATCCCTAACCCCACCGCTAATCCTACCCATCTCCACCCCCTGATCCCTAACCCCACCCCTAATCCTACCCATCTCCACCCCCTGATCCCTAACCCCACCCCTAATCCTACCCATCTCCACCCCCTGATCCCTAACCCCACCCCTAATCCTACCCATCTCCACCCCCTGATCCCTAACCCCACTCCTAATCCTACCCATCTCCACCTCCTGATCCCTAACCCCACCCCTAATCCTACCCATCTCCGCCCCTGATCCCTAACCCCACCCCTAATCCTACACATCCAACCCCACCCCTGATCCAACTCCGCCCTCTGGATCTCATGTACTGCAATGAGGTGCTACTGAAAATGTATAAAAACGGTCAATCGTTTGTCTGTTCTTTACACAGGTATTGCTCACTGCAGCATAAAGTACGTCAATCTGAAGGACTCGGCTGGCTCTAATATCACTCTACAGCAGCTGGGCTTCCAGCCCGACTTCTCCGTCTACCTGCACATCAGACAGACCTGGCTGGCCTTCAGTGAGTAGCTTCACTTAATGCTTATGTGCTTATATTTTCTGTAGTGGATTAGCTCAAATGAGGGGAATGTGTATATATATAATCAATAGTTAATCATATTGGTTAAGATCAATTATTACCTAAATATTTTAAATCGCCACAAAAGGGAATGTGTGTGTATAATATATTTATATACACTATTTGGTGACGGCTAGCCATTTTTTAAAAAATCTCTGATCACATTCAGTTTAGATTAGATCTTATAACTTTGCATTTTTTGCATTTTGGCTGTAGATTCGCATTAAAAAGTAATGTAATTAAAATACTTGAGCTTCATTTAAATATTATTGTAAATGCACTGAGCACATGTTTCTTTCTTCAGTAATCATTCTGGCTATTTTGGAGATCATCATCATCCTCCTCCTCATCTTCCTCAGGAACCGAATCCGAATCGCTGTCGAGCTCATAAAGGAGGCTAGCAGGTTTGTATTTTTTGTGGGATTTTTCCTGTTATTAAAGTTTATTGGCACATTGGTTATTTTACCTTTTTAATCTTTGGTTTGTGTTAGTGCTTTAGCATAGTTCTTGCTTACCCTCGTTGTGGTTTTCTTCGACCTCTTTTAGGGCCATCGGTTATGTGATGTCATCACTGTTCTACCCAATCTTTACCTTCTTCCTCCTGACCATAGTCATCGCTTACTGGGGTGTCACTGCAGTGTATCCTTTACTCAAAACTCAAGCAGAAGTTTTAGTGTGTGTGTGTTAGCGCTTTTGGACAGGAACTTGCATCCTATAGTTAGTCACTCACTTAAATCTAAATTAAAATAGTTCTTAGTTCAGAGGGAAAAAAGGTTTATCCATTATGTGTGTACTTGCCTTCCTATAAGCCCAAGACAGGTGGTAAGGTGTTCCTCACGCATAAAACACTTCACACAGTGAAATCCATTTGAATGGTTGTTTTTGTCCATTTAATCAGATGTTACAGTTTTTACATTGCATTGGTTCTATGGTAAGAACCATATATTCCCGCCACCTGTCCCCTTCTGATTTAACCCAAGTCAGTTTAAATACCATGTGACGGAACAGGTGTTGCTTTCACCTGCATCACAGATGACACCGCCATCTAGTGGTGGAACAAATTCCATTTGGCGCTTACAATATGTCTTTAAAGGGATAGTTCACCCAAAAAATTTAAATGTTAAATCATTTACTCATCCTCAAGTTGTTCCAAACACTGTAGGCATTTATTTTTTCTGCTGAACACAAAAGAAGATATTTTGCAGAATATGGGTAACCGAACAGTTGATGGACCCTGTTGACTTGTTGATACAATGGAAGTCAATGGCGTACATCAACAGTTTGCTTCGTTTTTGGGTGGATTATCCATTTAAGCTGTAATTGGAAGCTGCGAAAACATCTAATTCAGTTTGCATTACATTTCAGTAAAATTTCAATAAATAATTTAATCCGAATACACAGATACTTTGTGTCTTTTGTTTGACCGTCAGTTACAGTACAGACAATGTGTTTGTCCTCATAAGGGTGTAGTTACAGCATCTGCCAGCAGGGGATAATGGTTTGTAATGGATTATTTTTTTAATAAGATAAAGTTGGGGATATTTTATGATGGCAATGCTATATAGTTCAACATTTTCAGCACCAAGCAATTATTTATATATTGTAAAAAGTGTATGTGTGTTATGATTACACCAATGCTAGTCCTTAATTGCCCTGGCCAGTTTTCTCTCTACATCTAGTGAACCTGTTTATAAGGTTTTCAACGAAACAGTATGTTCATATTCCAGACAAACCTGCGTCCCTGAGGTGTGTATACTCAATAAATAAATAAATAAATAAATAAATAAATATTTAGGCACAGTTGTAGTATTAAAATATTAGGTGCACCATTCTATTTTTTTAATGCAAATATGTAGTATGTTATAAATAGATATTGATAAAATCAGCTACCTGACATCTTGGCAAATATATATATATTTTATATATATATATATATATATATATGCACTGTGTGTGTGTGTATATATATATATATATATATATATATTTACTATTATTTTTATATTTTTTATTTATATTAATTTATGCTATATATTTATTTATTCTATATATTTATCTTTATAAATGTGTGTGTGTGTGTATATATATGTATATATATATATATATATATTTATATATTTATTTATATTTACTATTAATTTTATATTTTTATTTATATTTATTTATATTTATTTATGCTATATATTTATTTATTCTATATATTTATCTTTATAAATGTGTGTGTGTGTGTGTGTGTGTGTATATATATATATATATATATATATATATATATATATATATATATACTTTGATACTTGTTTAATGGAGTTTATATAATTGTCTGACATGGAATAAAATTCTGTGGATGTACTATAGCAGGCTTGATGGAAAAATCAAGTCTTCTTTAACAATATTTAATATAACCTCATGTTTTTAAGTTAGTGAATGATCCCTGTTTCTCAATTTCCCTATTCCTTGCAGAACTACAGTGTTTCTGCTATGAAGACAGAGTGTCCGCGGTCTGAGTGCCTGTTTGCCTTCTACGGTGGGGAAACGCCGTATCACAAATACCTGATAGGCCTTCAGTTCTACAACGTCTTCCTGTTCTTCTGGTGTGCCAACTTTGTCACCGCTCTGGGTCAGATGACTCTAGCAGGAGCGTTTGCGTCCTACTACTGGGCTTTAAAAAAACCAGACGACATCCCTGCTTTCCCATTGTGTGCCTCTCTGGGCAGATCCCTCAGGTACGCTTCAGAAACGCATGTATGCAATATGCATGTTAGCGAAGTGTGTCATTCAGGTTTAATTGATGCATTTTGTCTACACGCAGGTATCACACAGGCTCTCTGGCGTTTGGTTCTCTCATCCTCGCCATCGTCCAGATTATCAGGGTTCTGCTGGAGTATATTGACCACAAACTCAAAGGTCAGAGAAAACATTTTGACAGAATGTTTATAGTCAGTTATAACTCAGGTTAATCACACCAATATGTGTGCATACACTGAAAGTAGAAACAGTTTTCACTCAGAAACTGCTTGTAAATTTTACAGTTAATTGCAAAGAAAGGCAAGTAACACATTAAATTAATCTTAACATTTTGAAGTAGAAAGACTGAAATAGCAATATATTAATATTTGTTTTTGTAATATAATTTACAACTACGAAAAATCTTTTTTTACAGTGTATAATGACTGTTAACTAATAATTGAATATTGTCAGCTATTCTAGTTTCATGTCTTACGAATCACTCTGCAGCCTTTTTCTTCTTGCATCATAATTTCATCAACTGTTTATTATCGCAAAATAAACCCTTTTAAGGCAATTAGAGACCCTGCTCTTTACTCTTTTGAGAAACATTATCTCTTGGCATATCTCACACTGCCCTCTGTAATCTGTTTGTGAGCTCTTTTGCTTGCTTTTGTGCCCACAGGAGCAGAGAATAAATTCGCCAAGTTCTTGTTGTGCTGTTTGAAATGCTGCTTCTGGTGCCTGGAGAAGTTCATCAAGTTCATCAACAGGAACGCTTACATTATGGTGCGTGGTAATGCACTACAGTGTAATATTTAAAGCAGAAACTCTTGGACTGATTGAACTAAACCAGAGGTGTCCAATCCTTGTCCTGGAGGGCCACTGTATGGAAGATTGTTTCCGCCACTGAATAAAAAAAAAGTAAATAGTTGCGACTTTTTATCTCACAATTGCGAGATATGAAGTCAGAATTGTGTGATATAAAGTCAGAATTGTATGATATAAAGTCGCAATTCTGAGAAAAAAAGAGAATTCTGACTTTTTTCCTCACAATTGTGAGTTTACATCTCGCAATTCTGACTTTATAACACATAATTGCGAGTTAATATGTCGAAATTCTGAAATCTGACATTCTGAGATATAATCTCACAATTGCGACTTATCAGGCCAATTCTAAGGGGAAATAAGACTAACTTTCCCCCTCAGAATAGTTTAAATCTCATGATTCTGACTTTATATCTCACAATTCTGACTTTATAACACATAATTGCGAGTTTATATGTCAAAATTCGGACATCTTTTCTCAGAATTGTGAGATATAATCTCGTAATTGCGACTTATCAGGCCAATTCTAAGGGGAAATAAGACTAACTTTCCCCCTTCAGAATAGTTTATATCACAATTCTGACTTTATATCTTGCATTTCTGAATTTTTAACACACAATTGCGACTTAATATCTCGCAATTCTGACTTTATAACACGCAATGGAGACTTTATATCTCGCAATTCTGATAATAAAGTCAGAATTGCGAGATGTAAACTCGCAATTGTGAGAAAAAAAGTCAGAATTGTGAGAGAAAAAGTCACAATTACCTTTTTTATTTTTCATTCTGTGGCGGAAACAGAATTGTGAGATTTAAACTATTCTGAGGGGGAAAAGTTAGTCTTATTTCCCCCTAGAATTGGCCTGATAACTCGCAATTGCGAGTTTATCTCACAATTCTGAGAAAAGATGTCAGAATTTCAACATATAAACTCGCAATTATGTGTTATAAAATCAGAATTGCGAGTTGTAAACTCGCAAATGTGAGAAAAAAAAAAAGTCAGAATTGTGAGATAAAAAGTCGCAATTCTGACTTTATATCTCGCAATTGTGATTTTAAAAAGTCGCAATTATTTTTTTCTTTTTTTTTTATTCAGTGGCGGAAACAAGCTTCCATACCACTGTCCTGCAGACCCTAATCAAACACACCTGAACCAGATAATCAAGGTCTTCAGACTCACTAGAAGCCGAAATCACCCGTATAGACCATTTTGCAAGATAAACAACACTGGTTCAGAAGCACTTCCTGTTTCAGTTTTTTTAACACTACATAAAAGCTGGGACAAAATACAACCAACAGAACATATAAAACTAAATCAAAAAGTTAAACAATTATCTTTAAGATGTTTTCTTTACATGTGAAATAAAGAAAACAGTTACAAACTGAAACAGGAAGTGTTTCTGGACCAGTGTTGTTTACATCTTGTAAAATGGTCTATACCTCTAGATAGGGCATTATTTGAGAGGATAGCCATTTTTTAGTAGTGTCCGAAACCATAGTGGACGTTATCGGCTGCACTTGTTCAATCCCACAATGCACTGCAATAACGAGTGTACGGCCGGATTCAGCTGTCCGAATCCACTCATTCGTTTTCATTCACTCCTTGAAGTGAACTGTATTAGTGGATTAATGTTGGGAATAGTGATTGAGGCTATAGAGGGCGATTTCGAATACAATCATGGAGATATGAGTGTCGGTGGCTCTACCATTGGAGAAAGTGTAACTGCTAACTTGGTCGGATCATGTGTGCCTTGATAACCAATCACATTACAACATTGAAGTCACTGAATTTCATTCAGAGTTGTGCGACAGTCCATTACTCAACTAATACCATAGAAATTATTGAGTAGGGGCGTAAACTGAGCCTCTCACGCAATTGTCAGTGACTTCTCTTATAAAAAAAGTGTTTTTTTTTCAGTGAAAACTTAAATAGATCAATCCAAAAGGAATGTTTAAGTTAGAAAATTAGTCGATGGGTTGTCGATTCATTAAACCATAAGCTATTTCCTCACAAAAGTGGTTTATTCAGAGTAGTGAAGTCTCATCCAATGGCATCCATTAAACAAAAACGGCCTCTGGTGTCCTTCCACAACGTTAGCAGGAGTTGCAAATTGTGTTTGATTTAAACTTTGCTGGACAGTGGCCCTCCAGGAGCATGATTGGACACCACTGAACAACTATTATTTACTTTTTTGAGGTGTTTTATGTAGTTTTATCACTCTCAGCCTGAGAAACTATGAACTAATGTGTCAAAGAGGAGGCAGTCTGAAGCCTACGTACTTTAACTTTATAATATAGTCCTATATGGAGTCTTTGTTGAATAAATGTCTCCTCTGCCACAGGTGGCCATATACGGGAAAAACTTCTGCCGGTCAGCAAGCGATGCTTTCCTGCTCCTGATGAGAAATGCAATCAGGTGGGTGATCCCTGACACTGACTATAGAAGAGACTGGAACTGAATACAAGAGTTTGACATATTTAAATTGACAGTGTTTCACACCATAACTGGTGCTTTTTTAGATACTAACAAACAATGAAATGTGATGCTGATAACAAGAAGAATTTAAAGCATGTGTTTCACTCTCGTCACAGGGTTGTAGTCCTGGATAAGGTCACCGATTTCATCTTATTCCTTGGAAAACTCCTTATTGTTGGGCTTGTGGGTACGTTTTCTGCTTTAGACTGTTTAAATAATACTGAACTAAACATTAGATTTAACTGCTGATGGTAAAATTCATGAGTTGTAAAACGTTCATCTTGTTTAGTTGGACTAAATTTAAACATTTTCTCCCCAGGGATCTTCGCTTTCTTCTTCTTCTCAGGACAAACGGATGCGTTTAAGGGTGCTGCACCCAGTCTCCATTATTACTGGGTTCCTATTTTGGTAAGTGGTTTGAGAGTGAGAACATGAGAAAATGTTATATACTGAATAAGGATATAGGCAGCATTTATTTGATAAATAATACAGTAAAAACAGTAATATATATTATTGACAGTTTCTATGTGAAAGTGTTATTTATTCCTGTGATCAAAGCATCATTACTCCAGTCTTCAGCGTCACATGATCCTTCAGAAATCACTCTAATATTATGATTTGATGCTCAACATTTGCAGTTTACGTTTCTGATTATTATCAATGTTGAGTTTTTTGTTGTTGTTAAGGATTCTGTTGAAATGGAAATCTTTTCCAACACTGTTCATTTCTTAAAGGTCATTTGTAATCAATTTAATGCTTCCCTGCTTAAAGAGATAGTTCACTTTGAAATAAATTTTTGATATGTTTTAGCTTACCTCAAGGGCATCCAAGATGTAGGTGTCTTTGTTTCGGCAGTATTTTCAATTTTGATGTTTTTAGGTCAAACCGTTCTTGTCTGTCAGTCATATAATGCAGGTCTATGGTCACCACCTCAAAGAGCATGCACAGAGAAGTCCAAATTAAACATGATCTAATGACGTGTATGTCCCTCATTGTTTACACAGAGATTTCGGAAGTTTTACCTTTCACTGTGAAGATCTAAACATATTTAGATATACAGGAAATTGCAATGGAAGACGATTTCGATAATATGTTTAATAATATGTTAAATATGTTTAGATCTTCACGGTGAAAGGTAAAACTTCCAAAATATAGGTTAAAACGATATAAATACTGTTCGTTTTCTCACACAAACCGCTCGTTTCGTGTCTTAGGCCATCAATGTGTACTTACATGTACGAGTCATTAAATCATGTTTAATCTGGACTTCTCTGTGCATGCTCTTTGAGGTGGTGACCATAGACCTCCATTATATGACTGACAGACAAGAACAGTTTGACCTAAAAAAATCAAAATTGAAAATACTGCGGAAACAAAGACACCTACATCTTGGATGCCTGTGAGGTAAGCTAAAACATATCAAAATTTAATTTCAAAGCGAACTATCCCTTTAATGAAAGTATACATTTCTTTAAAAAACAAATCTTTTGGATGGCAGTCTATGCTACCTGTCTTTAACACATGTTTGCGTTGTTTCTCCAGACAGTGTTGGTGGGCTCCTACCTCATCGCCCATGGGTTTTTCAGCGTTTACGCCATGTGTGTGGACACACTCTTCCTCTGCTTCTGTGAGTACTTGCCATTAATAAGCGTTTTCACCTCAGAATCCAGTAGTTCAAGTATGAATATCAAGTCCACTTTTGAACAAGTGTAATTTTGGATCCTTTTAAAAATGGTAAAGCTTTGCATTTGGAGAAATGTTATATCTGAAGCTTTTAAGCCACTAATGACTCTTAATTGCGCATGGCAGTGTGTGTAGCTCGGTTTGCCCTTAATAAACCTCTCATGGCTCGCTAGACTGATCATTTACTCTGCGGTTACTATGAGGTGTTTCTAATCTGTTTTTGGTGCTTTTCTTCCCTTCATCTCATACTGACCTGATTCTTTCTCTTTTTATTGTTGTTTCCCACACTTTTCTCATCATTCCTCCTTTGGTTATTCTTCATTTTGAAAATTTTTTCCTCACAATCTAAATATCACACATGAATCATTATTACTCTTTGTTTATACCTCCTGACAACCTCACACACTCATTACTAAACCCACTAACGCCACATAAAGGTGAAGACCTCGAGCGTAATGACGGCTCCACTGCGCGTCCGTATTACATGACCGCATCGCTGCACGACGTTCTGATGAAGGACGCGGACGCGGCTCGGACCCCCGCTTCACAGGACGAGACCATCCAGCTGACGGAGCCCGGCAAAAACTGTTAAACTGGTCGAAAGCTGTCGTGATATGGAAATATAACCTCATTTATTACATTAAGAGACTGAATGGTCACAAGATTCAATCATAACTGCAGTTAAATAATCATGTGTTCAATCGACTGATAATGATTAATGTATGTTAAGATAATATTTAAGGTAATAGGATAGAGAGGGAAATGACAACCTTTGCCGAAAATAATTTATTTGAAGTCAACATTAAACAACCTACTTTACTTATATGATGTGACGTTTCACCTAATGAAACAGATGTTAAAGGGGTCATGTGATGCTGTTTTAAAAGTTCATTATTCTGTGTATTGGGTTTAATTGAATAGGTGAACAACATGCTTTAATGTCCAAAAAAACGTTTTTCTCACACTATGCCTTAGGCCGCCATTATGCTAATATTTCACATTGTGGCGTAGACGATCGAGGACGATTTAGGCACGTCTGGATTAATAATCTTTGTTAGATGGAATAAATCACTTTGTGGGAAACCATGATCTTTATAACTTCACAGATCGTATACATTACGCACTAAAGGAAAAGAAAAACATTAAAAAGCATCATAGGACTCCTTTAAATTATAAAAATGGTAACACTTTACAATAAGGTTTCATTTGTTATGTTAACAAACTAACAATGAGTAATGATTTCTACAGCAGTTCTTAATCTTAGTCGATGTTAATTTCAGGATTTACTAAAACATTATTAAAATTTCAATCCAATTTAAATAATACAACTTTTGATGTGCCTAAACTAATTTGAACTTACAATGAACAGTTGTATTTTTTATCAATTAACTTTGACGAAGATTAATATACTGCAACAAATATATTGCTTGTTGTTAGTTAAAGGTGCAGTGTGTAATTTTTAGCGGCATCTAGTGGTGAGGTTACGAATTGCAACCATCAAAAGTTACGGTGGCCTACAGGCGATTTCGTCGTCTGAGACCGCAGAGAGTTGCCAGTTAAGCAATGAGGTTTATTTACAAAGATAAATTAAGACATTGTTTACTTTATTATTCAGTAAAACGATAGGTTATTGCAAATATTGTTACTTGTTCATCATTGTGTCAGTGTTTTATTCGCTGACTTTAGCTAGCTTCTTTGCACAAAGAACAACATAGCGACGAAATTCATTTAGGGCAACATGTCGGCACAAAATGGCAATTTAACTAAGTAGATGGAAAAGGCTTATTCAAAGGTAATACAAACATGACGGTTCATTAATAAGGTCTTTATACACCACTGAAAACATAGTTATGTATATTATATTGCATTTCTGTCTACAGATCATCCTAAATATCACACAATGCACCTTTAATGTCAGCTGATGCATTAACTGGCATAACTGATCGGATCTAATTGCAAAGTGTTAATCATGAAAACAATAGTGGCACTGGGATGATGGAAAGTGTCTCTATATGAAACAAAAAGGGCTTATGATTACATTTTAATAAACGTATGTGAAGACAAACAATGAATCATGCAAAAAGGTTCAAGTTGACTTTAAAGTAGCCTGTTTATTTAATCGAAAAATCAATTCATAGTTCTAATATTTTTCATAGTTGATTATTGGAGTATGTTTTATAAGAAAATCTTTCTACTTCAATTTTTAATTTAATTAAATGGGTTGTTTGCTGATTTCATAATTATTTGTGAAATTGCTTTAACTTCTGATTGAAATTTGTTTCGGCACTACATTTTTTTTCAGCGTAGTATTTATTTTTACGTAAAAAATATCAGTAAATTTCACAAATAATTGCAACCCATGGAAGCAAGCATGAAAGACCTAAATAGTATTTTCTTCTAATACATATTCCAATAATATTTGTAATATAATTGTTTACACTGTTCATCAAATGATGTGATTCAGTGTTGTTAGTTGTCCGTACTGTCAGATAAATGATGCATTTAGATATTATTTTTTATGTACTGGCTGCTTTAATTTGTTGCTGCTGCTTTATTCTACGATAGAGTGCACATCCAATGTTACTCTTAAACTGCTGATAATATTTCTGTATTATGTAGATTGTAAGCCATATCTATTGAATGCACTTTAAGGTTGGTTATTGTTTTTTGATAGCAATTTGCAACCGTTTTTGGAAAACCAAAACACCTTGTTGCCTTTCTGAGACGCCTTTAACTTTATCTGCTGCCTTTTCCACTGTCTCTTGGATGCTTAATGTCTTTTTTAATCTTTAATAAATACTATGCAAGAAGGTACATGTGTTATTTAGGTCTGTTTACATGTGAGTGTGTGTGTGAGGAGTTTGTCACTTTCCTTTCCTCCTATGGTTAAAGGTATAGGCCATGGCTTGTTTGTTCCTCAACTCTTTTCTCACATTCTCCGTTTATCGCAGTGGAGGACCTGGAGAGGAACGACGGCAGCTCGGAACGACCCTATCTGATGTCTGATAACCTTCTGAATGTTCTGAAGAAGAAGAACCAGGCCAACTAGTCCACACCGACGGTCAGGGTAATACGTAAAGTGCGTGCATGTTTTCTGTGAGGCATTGGAATAACTGGAGGTGCCTGAAATCGCTTTCGTTGCCATATTCATATTCACCGTGCCTTAGAGAGCCAGAGACAATCATATTAATTATGAAGCGCATCAAACGTGGTTGACGTCTGTGTCTCGTCGGCCATACATTGAGATTTATTATGCAGGAATACTACCACAATTAGGTAAAATTACACCTCTGCTTTTTTTCAGAGGCTTTTGTGAAGTGGATTTATTTAAATGTCTAAAGTTTTGCAATAATTGGCACGCATTTTAATGCCCATTTTACAGAATACCGTTTGAATTTTGATATTTAGGGTTTTTTTTTTGTTTGTTTATATTTATGGTTTTTATATAAACACAATTTAGTGTCGTTCATTGTGCTGTTGGACAGGGTTGTTGAAGAATGTTGTCTTTGCCACTACATATGCGTAATCGATCATAGAACAATGTTTATGATTAAATATTGCAGATACTTTAATGTTCGATCATCTTTTTATGTTCCGTAGAGTTAAATCTTTGGCCTTGTGTACATTTATTATAAGAAGTGCCTTTATGTTGTTCAAACAGTTAAAGACCTCGACTTGAAAAGTGTTCATGACTTTATTCAGTGTTTTAAGGTTTTTGTTACATGTTCGTATGCCTCAATGCATGGTAAATAAAGAATTTTCTACCAAAAAAAACGTGTAAGACCTGTTTATGAGACCTTTTTGATCAGTTATTGAGAAGTTTTGTTCTGTCTTAAACATAAATGTGACTTAACTGCCATATCAAAAGCTTATTTTATTAAGTGTTTAAAAAATTTCACCCAAGAATTTTGTAGCTGTAGAACTTTCTCGTTTTCAGTTAACCGCTAGGTGGCGCTCTTTACCAAATATACATATGTCGCTATATTTAGCAGAAGGTGTGAACTGGAGCAAATCTGACATTGCACACTTGAATTTCAAATGTATTTTTGTGTTTAAAAAAACGGTCTAAAATAACGAAAATGTGTTATTCACTACATTTTGGAGTCATCAATTTTGTTTGTTTATTGTTTTTATTGTTAATTTGATTAATCAAATACAGTAGAAAAGTAAATAGGGTGAATTAAGGTAAATGTCTAAGTTCACTCTATTTTAAAGCCAGCATTAAATATTTAAATATAAATAAAGGTTTTAATGGAATATTGCAGTATTTATTATAAATTATTTTTCCATGCGATGTGTTGTTGTTCATGTGGTGCATCTTTTTTATCAAAATATCTTCCCTTTCATCTTCTCTGATGACAGTGGGGCAACCTGCCACTCACATCAGATCAGCCAATAGCAAACCACAACCATCCAATGATTCCCGGTGGACAAAATCAAGCCCCGCCCTTCTTTTTTTCTTGTTTGGGAAAGCCATTTCACTCAGATGTATAGGCCTATGGATGCTTTTAACTACTGGGAAGTTTATATTTACAAGTTGGGAAGTCCAGTTTACGACGTCCGTTGCGTTCAAGTCACTTATGGAAAGAGTGTCTTAACCATAGTTATGGTCTTAACTATGTGTTTGCTTTTTTTATGTTTTTTATTAATTAATGAGGCCACTGTAAACTTCGTTCCTTATATATTGTTTACAATGCTATTATATGTTTTGCAGGCAGTTTGCTCAGGGTTATTTCATTGTAGGCCTAAATAATAATAATAATAATACACTCTAAAAAATCCTGGGTTTTTTTAACCCAAATTTGGGTCAAATATGGACAAACCTAAATGTTGGGTTAAAAATGTAATTTAAAATTTTAACCCAATGGCTGAGTTTGTCCATATTTGACCCAAAGATGGGTTAAAACAACCCAGCATTTTTTAGAGTGTAAAGTCACTGTCACTGCTAAATTTGTAGGCTTAGGCCTATATTGTGTAGGCTATTATTTCTCGCTGATGTCCCAAATGTAAGGAAAGCTCATAGGCCTATACGATTTTGTGGTGGCGTTCATGTGCGTTCAGCTCGTTCAAACTAGTTTCTGACATGAATTGAACACACCATATGACGTAATAACAAATATGGAAAGACCATACTTCCCTTTCATACTTTATATGGAATTGTTACAATGTCTTTATCTAACCATAAAATTAAAAGGTTTCTAATTTGTAATGCTTTCATTATTAGAACAAACAAATATTTTGGAAAACTTATAAGCTAGAAAAGTCACGGTCCCATAAGGAAGTTCTGTTAAACAATCTTCCTAGGTTACACTGTTTTCAAAGTGACTGATTTCCCTCAACAATACAGAAGCTCAGCTCCCATAGTGACGTGCGAATGCTTTTCCATGATAGCCACATCTCCAGGGGCTGCTTTCAGTTTTATGTAGTTCATAGCCTGCACACTTTGAATTCAATCCACCGCTCAGATTTCAAGTTATTGTTTATTAACACGGAATATAGGTTTTGTGTGTGCACAGTGAAAATGACATCATATTAGGTTCGGTTTTGTGGCCTTTGCCTCTAACCATCATTTTCACAAAATGTTAACCTTGCCCTTATTATCTTCTCACCTAATTTAACTTCTCACTTCTGAGATACAAAATAATTTGAGTTAGCCGAGCCTATATGAAGCACGTAGACTACGCCAAAGTGTGAATTAAAATGTTATTTGGAAAGCCGCAGTTAGATGAGATGTTCTCCAGTGACGACAGCAACATGTCACACAGATCCCACGGGATGCACGTTGTGTGCCAAGCAGAAAAGCCCTTCCCCCCCTCGCGCGGTTCATGATCTTTACTTTATGAGGAAGATAGAAGTATTAATTCAAATATAAGACTGACTGTCAGATCCTTCACAATGTTTTTGGCACACTGTACAAAGTGTTCTTAAATGCCAAACAATTAATGCAAATTTTAACATTATAGCCTATGGCATATCTAGCCTATACAATATAGCCCATTATACTATATATGAAGAGTTCAGATGCAAAAGCCTCTAAGTGCCATTTGAAATTTTCTTCTAAAATGATCATTTTTATCAAGCTTGTATATTTAAGTTCAGTAATTTCACTTAAATGGCAATGAAGATTACTTATTAATTGTCATTTAAGTGAAATTACTGAACTTAAATATGCAAGCTTGATAAAAATGGTCATTATAGAAGAAAATTTCAAATGGCATTTAGAGGCTTTTGCATCTGAACTCTTCATATGGTACCTATTTGAATACATATATAAAAGGCCTATACTGAAGCCTATTATGTAATGGTGTACATTTCACTTTGATTTTTACTATAGTCTATAGCCTATTTCACATATAAAATGCCGAATTATCCGAGTTTTCTGATATTTTTGATGTTCACTAGCCTATAGGTGTTGTTTATTTTTTGGGCTGTTTTAACATTTTGTCATTTGTCAATATTAAAATTGTTTTTTTGTATTGAAACTTTTTTACATCTATGTATAGCCTTTTATTGATATATAGGCGTACAAAAAGGCCATGTTAATTGTAATTAAATCAAAAGGCGCAAATAGTGATTTAAGAAAAAAAAATCATTTACATGTAGCCTGCGTTTTGTTCCAGTCAAATAAAGTAGCTAACTGTAATATTCACAACTCAAAAATGAATGATAATGAATGAATAGCCTCTCCATGAGTCGGTTACCATAGTAACAGTTCGCTAATCGATCGCTTTGTGTAAATCAGTATTAGAATGAAATTAAGGTTGGCAAACGTATCAAGATAAGGTTAAACAACTTCATTATACATTAGTGGTGTGTAGCCTACTTCAAATTCGTGTTTTCTTTAAGCTAGCAGCGTCACGATATGGTTCGCGCGACATCAGCAGGTGCGAAACTCGAAACTAGTCAGAAATTCATTCGATTCGAATTAGAATTCCTTCGGAAATCGCTTTAAAGATGTCAGTTGCGTTCAGTGTTGGATATAATGGCAACGTTTATGTGTTGTTGTGTCGTACAGTTAGACTTCCCTTAACACCTCCCACTTCATGGTGCCCTTTTGAGCGCAGGTGAAACGACACATCAGTGCGGGCAGGCTGACTCAAAGGAAAGATAGACTAACATGACGAGGATTTTAGATTGGTGCTTCTGAAGTTATAGAGAATTTAAGCTGATAATCGTTATTTTATATATGTCTATGATAATCGCTTATTATTCTAAACATCTGTTTTAATATGCAGCTGTTTTAATATATAGGCTAAATAGCCTATTAACGCTTAACTCTCAAGTCAAGATGTTTATTTTCTAGCGAATGCGAATAGTGCAATTAAGTTTTTTTAAATTACTATTATTTTTTACTTTTATGGTTATTCGTGAGGATGGAAAGGATTATATCGTAAAAACATCCTCGTAAGAAATGGGAAAATGGGAGTTGACAATGGTAAGACGAATGATTTATTTGTGATGTCTGTGAAAAGTAGCCTACTGTACAATCGCACACATAAATGTCACTGTGTTATGAATCGAGTTGTGTGTGTGTGTGTGTGTGTGTGTGTGTGTGTGTGTGTGTTTTGCTATGCCCTGAATGCACTTTAAATAGAGTAACAGATCGTGTTCAGAAAATGTGCTGTCCCAGCACCTGACAGATATACATCATTGCTGAAAGACGAGGCCATTCAATGTGGGTCAGAGAGAGAGAGGGGCTGGATGTTACTGGGTTAAAATAAATGGCCATGAATCACAGTAATAAAATAGGAGAGACCGGGGCAAGTTGTCACAGTGGCTACACAGTATATTGTGATTTTTCTAGCATTGCGTTTTCGAAACTGGATATTTTTTGTAACTATATTTTTGTAATGCTGTTAAACCAAGTTAGTGTTTTGCAATTGATTTATTACAATGTCTGTCTGACAAAACATTTTTTTACCCATACCATTTTTCAATTTTTTTATTTATTTAAATAGACAATAGTAGCCCACGTTTTAAATGCATACTATAGATGCACAAAATGGTATGATATGGTAATTTATTTATATTATAGCACAATTAAATACAATTTACATTATCCAATGTGCTTTACAATATTAATAAAAATCATAAAAACAAACAACAAAACAACAACAACAGTACAGGTAGAATACTGTAAGGTAAGTGTTTCACCCATTTAAAATGATGAGATAGAGTGGCCAAAATAACAAGGAAGTACATGTCTCATATATAAAGTATAGCTACAAAATTAGGATTTAACAGAATTAAATAAAATATGATAAAGTCATAAAAACATCTCTCATGAAAATAATTTAACCGATTTCAACTTAATCTTTAAGTTATGCGAGATTCATCTTTTTTTTCTTTTAGGTCTGTTTAATATAAGTTCATTCAAAGTGAATTGTACAGCACCAACTGATTATAAAAAAATTTAAGGCAGCTGCTGAAATTATTATTATTTTTTTTTTGTAGAGAATAAAATTACTCAAAATGGAGTATGTAATGCATTACAGTAATGCATTATTTTGATCTTATTGTGTGCTGTATAATTAGCTTATGATGTACCGTCTATGTTCTGAATGGACTAATCTACAACAGCCACCAGTTTGTGCCCAGTTTGTGTGTCATGTGCCTCTGTTTTGTCTGCTGTGAGATTTGGGCTGGTGAATGTTGGCAATAGACATTAGCTGAAGTAAATGACCTAGTCAGCAGCACTTCCAGTACAGCTTTTGTTGAACAGCTCGGGAATCTGTGTTTGTTTGGCGTTATATAAAATACATAGTGATTTTTTTTTTTTCAGAGTAGATGTTATTCTTTTCTTTTCTTGAATAATAGCAATTTCTCTCCTGCTTCCTGCTATCAGATGGCAAATGCCATTGACCTGGTGTGATCAGTGACTACAGTAACTGGGTCATTCCTGGGATTCGGTAATATTTCAGTCCCCCTGATTTTTTAAAGTGGTATTTTGTAAAAACAACCACAACAACAACAACAACAAAAAACAGACCGTTAGTTATGTTATGTCCCTCAGTCTGAACTCAACTCCATCACGCCAACAATTCTCCTCCTATAATAATATCTCCACACATATGTGACATCACCTGCCAGAAATGACATCATTCAGGTCTCTTTAACAGTGGTGCAGAAGATGGTAAATATTATCCTACTTTTTAATTCTTATTTTGAGGTGTATTATGGTCAGGGAGGGTACTGTCAAGCTTAATAGCTCAACCCCATCACATAAAATTAAGATGGAACATGATTATTTTTCACAATTTTATTTTAGTCCATAAGTATACATAATGCACTTATTTCAAGCTGAAATATTGCCGAATTCCAGGAATGACCCAATGCTGTTAAGATGAGATATAGAGCAGAAAGAGCAACCAGAATGGGTTTTTATATAGGACAAGATTTTAAAAACGGCTTTTAAAGGTTAAAAAATGCAAGCAGGTATTGATTTTAAAAAAGCAGGATCATTGTGCGTGTGATATTACGCTGCTTTAATGATATGTTATACAGTATATGATGCTATGTTTTGTGTCCCAGGTTGAAAATACAAAGTCCCAGGTGCATGTCCTTTGAACTGAAGCGCTCTGCTTCTTGAGCTGCAGACAGGTTCTCATTAGCTGTAGTGTTTGTTCACTGGACTAAATCAAAAGACATTCAATTTTGCTTATTCATAAGGACAGACTCATGTAATATTCAGAGATATAGAGATTATAAGTTATAATAGCTGTAGGTATTAGCAATTGCTGAAGCAGGCAAGCCTTTTCAAAAAGCCACTGCTCTAAAACAAGTGGCCATCCAGAACACCCTAGCGACCATCGCAGAAACCACCTAGAACACCATAGCAACACCCTGGCAACCGGCAAATCAATAGCATCATGCTGGTCCATTTTTCATACACTCTTCTCATAGAAACCTCCCAGAAACGCCCTAGCTACTGCATAGCAATACCTCAGGAACGCCATAGCAACTGCATAGCAACACCCTGGCAACCTAAAAAATGATAGCATCATGCTGGTGTATTTTTCATTCTCTTTATATAGCGACAAGCAGAAACGCCCTAGCAACTGCATAGCAACACCCTGGCAACTCTTAATACAACAGCACAATTCTTGTGCATTTTTAAACACTCTTACTCTTCACATAGCAACCAGCCAGATATGCCCTAGCAACTGCATAGCAACACCCTGGCAACCCTTAACACAATAGCACAATTCTTGTGCATTTTTAAACACTCTAACTCTTCACATAGCAACCATCCAGACACATCATAGTAACTGCATAGCAACACCCTGGCAACCCTTAACACAATAGCACAATGCTTGTGCATTTTTAAACACTCTAACTCTTTACATAGCAACCATCCAGACACATTATAGTAACTGCATAGCAACACCCTGGCAGCCCTCAACAGAATAGGATCATACTTGTGCATTTTCATACATTCTTCACATAGCAACCCTCCAGAAGCGACCTAGCAACTGCATAGCAACACTTTGTTTGCGCTCAACACAATAGCGTCTTCACTCTTCACACAGCAACCACCCAGAAATGCCCTAGCAACTGCATAGCAGTGCATTTTCACATAGCAACCATCCAGGAACGCCCCAGGAATTGCATAGCAATACCATGGCAACCCTCAACACAATAGCATCATGCTTGTGCATTTTCTTACACTCTTCGAATAGCAACCACCCAGAAACGCCCTAGCAACTGCATAGCAACATGCTTTTCTTGACTATTTTTCTTGACTTTATTTCTCCTCAAGCACATGTTCATCCACCCGAAGCTTTGGATTTGAACAGTAGTCTCTTGTTTTGCTTGCTTGTGTTTTCACACATTCAGCTCTCCTCTTGTTTATCCGTTTAACCCGTCAATAATGGGCTGTAATTGACCATCTTCAGTGTCATACCCGCTTCTAATAGTTTACAGTCAACAACACACAACCTGTACTCAGCAAAAGAGGTAATCCGGACTCAAAGTCCCTCAGGTGTGCTGGTGTGGACTTGCCCTAATGTTATAGTGACATCAGCTGCTAGTCAGCCAGATGAAGCTTGTAATAATGACTCTTTGTCCTCGTGTCTGTGGTTTGCAAATCCATGCTGCTTTTAGCCGAAAGCTCAGTCACCAGTGTTGTTTTACAAACAGTGCATTATGGGAAGGGTTTTTTGTTGAAAAGTGTGCATAGTATTTGATTTAGTCTCACCCATTTAGTAGCTGTGTTATGTTTTTTTTTTTCTTTACTTGAATGTTTATAATGTAAAAATAATTATATGAATCTATAAGGGAGTGTGCACACTATTCTAACATTTGGGTTCAGAAAGAAAAAAGAAATTATATTTTTATATTAAGTAAAGATGCGTTAAACTGATCACAGTGTCAGTAAATACATTTTTTATAATATTACAAAAGATTTATATTTTAAATAAATGCTGTTCTTTTGGCCTTTCTATCCATTAAAGTATCCTGAAAAAAGTATCATGGTTTCCACAATAATATTGTCCAGAACAGCTATATTCAACATTGATAATAATCAGAAATGATTCTCAAATCTTGTCTGAAGGATCAAGTACACTGAAGACTGGAGTATTGAAAATACAGAAAATACAATTTAAAATGAAAATAAAATACAGTTTACTATTTTATTATATTTTAAAATGTAATGTATCATTACAGTTGCTGATTACACATCAGTTTTCAGTGTCACATGATCCTTCAGAAATCATTCGAATAAATTTAATTATTATTTTCAATGTTGAAAACGTTGAAAAGTCATACCATTCCCCCCCCCAAAATTCTATGATGAATAGAAAGTTCAAAAGAACAGCATTTATTTAAAATATAATCTTTTCTAACTTTATAAATGTCTTTACTGTAACCTTTGATCAATTTAACTCATCCTTGATGAATAAAAGTATTTTCTAATTTATTTCCCCCAAAAATAAAAAATAAATTCTTACTGACCTCAAACTGTTGAATGGTAGTGATTAATGTTACAAAAGCTTTACATTTCAAATCAATTCTGTTCTTTTGAACTTTCTATTCATCAACGAATCCTGAAATAAAAATGTAAAAAAAAACTGTTTTCAACATGGATAATAATCATAAATGTTTCTTGAGCATCATATAATAATTTCTGTAGGATCATGTGACACTGAAGACTGGAGTAATGATGCTCTAAACTCAGCTTTGATCACAGGAATAAATTACACTTCACTATATATTCACATAAAAAAGTGTTGTTTTAAATTGTAATAATATTTCACAATATTACTGTTTATTTTTGTATTTTTTATCGAATAATTCCAGCCTTAGTAAGCAGAAGAGACTTCTTTTAAAAACATAAAAAATCTTACCCATCTAAAACTTTTGACCGGTAGTGTATATATATATATATACACACACATATATACATGTATGTATATACATATATATACATATATATATATTATATATTACTTTTTATAATTGTACATTTTTTTATGCAATTTTGGTGAAAATACAAGGATTATTGGTAATGTCTTTTGTGTCATTGTCAAAGGAGCCTGTTCAGGAGTGGGGCGAGGAGCATGAAGAGGGGGCGGTGTTCGGGATCACCCTGCGCAGAGAGCCGGTCCTGCAGTCAGCCGAGCCCACCGAGGGTTTCGTTCAGTACCGCACATGTAAAGTGCGCAGGTTAAAAGCAGCCACACTGGACCGGCTGGTCTCTCACCTCGTGGACCCCTGCTGTCAGGAGCGAGACTACGGCAGAATACTGCTGTCCACGTATCACACATTTACCAGCTCCAACAAACTCATCGAGATGCTCTTCCAGAGGTGTGTGCTTACAGGTGCATATGGAAATGTGTGTTTGCGATAACAGGCTGTATTTGGCTATCTGTTGTTTGTGTGTTGGATTTCTCTACGTCATTTATTTATATAGTACGTCATCACTGATCACTTCCTTAAACTCATGACTGACTTCTGGTCTCATTGGGGTTTATGGCTTCATTTAATTAATACCTTTTTATGAGAAACACTGCATCAGTTAGGCACTTTTTTAATTATATTTTTCTATATTATATAATATTTTTTTTAACACATGGGTTGTGATAGTCTGTTCAGTCAAGCCTGTTTCGTCTTGGTTGAATCTTGCATCTAAATACATTACTTTTAACTCTTTCCCCACCAGTGTTTATATATATATATATATATATACTGTATATGTAAATGTGTGTATATATACAGTATATATATATATATATATATATAAAGAAAAAAGCTAGTCAAGTTACTTTCTCAACATAATGTGTGTCTTGACAAACTCTTTAAAGGGATAGTTCACTTTGAAATTAATTTTTGGTATGTTTTAGCTTACCTCAAGGGCATCCAAGATGTAGGTGTCTTTGTTTCCGCAGTAGTTTCAATTTTGATATTTTTAGGTCAAACCGTTCTTGTCTGTCAGTCATATGATGCAGGTCTATGGTCACCACCTCAAAGAGCATGCACAGAGAAGTCCAAATTAAACATGATTTAATGACTCGTAATGTAAGTACACATTGATAAGACACGAATCAAGCGGTTTGTGTGAGAAAACGAACAGCATTTATATGGTTTTTACCTCTTGTAACCACAGCCACGTCCAAGTGATATGAAGGCGTGGGCGCTTTGTGACTGTGATTACAAGAGGTAAAAATGATAGAAATACTATTCGTTTTCACACAAACCGCTCGTTTCATGTCTTAGGCCATCAATGTGTACTTACATTTACGAGTCATTAAATCATGTTTAATTTGGACTTCTCTGTGCATGCTCTTTGAGGTGGTGACCATAGACCTCCATTATATGACTGACAGACAAGAACGGTTGACCTAAAAATATCAAAATTGAAAATACCGTGGAAACAGAGACACCTACATCTTGGATGCCCTTGAAGTAAGCTAAACATACCAAAAAATTATTTCAAAGTGAACTATCCCTTTAAACTAGATTATTTATCTCTAATCGCCATTGAGCTGAGAAAACCCCCCCCAACTAAATTCAAGATGTAGATATCTGAAAACAAGTTTTAATCTTATGTAATTTTTCTTGCTTTAAGGATATTTAGTGGGGTTTTTTTGTTGTTTTTTTACTGTAAAACTAGACAAATACTATAAGGAAAGGTTATATTTGGCATCAGTCCGTCAGTCATTTTTTTAATGTGTGAAATGAAACGGTGTCTTTATAGCTACTATAACACTATAACACTGTTTTGTCAATAAGGTTTCATGACAAGACGTCACGTAAAATAATTAAGCAATACAGTACTGTTAATGTTTTTATATAAAAACTATTTATAAAGAAGTATACCTTTTCATCTTTTCTAATAGGGACAACTCTTCACTTGACAGCACCAGTTACCGTGACAGGTAAAAATATACGCTGACAATAAGATGTTTGACACTTTGTTTCATGTCCAGTAGACCTTGATTAAATTAATCTGGTTTGTGCCTATCTGTTTATCCAACCAATAGCAAATGGAGGAAGCATATTATCCTTGAAATTACGTTTTATGCCACTATAATGGTGGAGAAATTGTACTGGATCTTTAAGTCAAGTCAACTCACCTTATTACAGATAGTTTCAAAGTGTCATTATTCAGCTGAAGTCAGTTCAACTTTTAATTCAACTTTAAACAAGTCCACTCATTTCATAGGGTTTCTGATGTGCAATTTTGAAAATACAGCTTCAATACTTGATTTGTTTTCCCGATTCCCTCGTAGCTGTTTGTGGACTTTGCTCCAGATGTGGTTGGACGAGTACAGTGATGATTTCAGGGATCCTCCCATGCACTCTTCTCTGCGTCTCATGTGCTTACAGCTGAGAGGACACCCCTTTCTCTTCCCCCTGGCGAAACACTACGAAGCGCTCCTGAAGAAATTCCAGACTGAAGGTCAATACTGGATTATTTGTTTGTTGTGGACATCATTTTAAGATTTAATTTCTTGTTATAGGCTGAAAAATGTCTATGGATCAACATTTAACCTCTTTGGAATAATTGAAGCCAGCTACAATTTAAGCTCTTCTGTCTTTTGCACATCCAGATGTTGTGGCAGATTGTCCAGTTGATTATATAGAGGAACCAGGCTTGAATAAGGAGGCGAATGACATTGAGTCGGATAACCTTGCCGATTTCATGGATTTCTCCATCACAGATGTTGCAGAACAGCTCACCCGTATGGATACCGTGAGTGCCACTGTTTCATTGCTTCCTTATGGTTATGGTGACAGTCATCTTGTAATTTTGGTGTTCCTGATGTTGTAGGACTTGTTCATGAAGGTGGTCCCTTTCCAATGTCTGGGCTGTGTGTGGTCCCAACGAGACAAGAACGAGAACCTCTCACCCACTGTTTGGGCCACCATCACCCAGTTCAATGCAGTCACCAACTGGGTCATCACTTCTCTCCTCCATCCCTCGTCTTCCGCCTCTTCCTCCACAACCACAGAAAGAGCCAGAGCCATTGAAAAATGGGTTCGGGTTGCACAGGTATGCCCTTTTTACAGGAAAAATGATGTCTACTGAGAAAATTAAAGTGTTTTTGACCTTGGATGCATGTTAACCTATTGTAGTAGACCTCCAAAACAAAAGTAGGAACCTTTAAAATCATCATAGGTATTAAAGAAAGACTCATTTCTTTTGACGCAGGGGTGCAGAGAGCTGAAGAACTTCTCCTCTCTTAAGGCCATTTTATCTGCCCTTCAGTCCAACCCCATCTACAGACTAAGGAAGACCTGGTCTGCTGTGAGCAGGTACAGATATACACCCTTCAAATGCAATTGGCTTTTATGGTCGCTATAGTCTCACACAGCTGGTTTTGTTTTCTATATTTCTAACCAGCAAGTACTTTGTAGAAAACCCTGAGCATTTTGGTTAAGCCTAACCGTATTCTGGACAATTTTGGGAAAAATAGTTTTGATTTATTTTTTTAAAAATACTTCCCTTGATCTGAGCGGTACAAGACTTGGCTACTTTTCCTAAGTTTGCCTCCTGAACACACACATTTTTTTTTGACTCAATTCTACAATGTTAAGTGGGTGAAAAAAACTCCTTAATCTTGTATTTGGGTCAAAAATGGGCACCCATAGAAATGAATGGGGAAAACTGTAATTTAGAGCGTTCTAAAATAAGCCAAAATAAGACACCAGGTGACAGCAAAGTCACTGCATCTTTAGGTTTTAAATCTAAGAACTTATTGGAATGATATTTTAATGTAGTTAAAAAAAAATAAGCATAATTTACATGGAAAATATGGTACTTTTTGAAGTAAATAAATTAAAAAATACAAAACACCATAAATGGATAGACAAAACTTTATCGAAGACAGTGATATAACATTTATAATAAATAAAAATTAGGATCACACCTGAGTCCTCTATGCCCACATTAGTCCACAATTACAGGATTTAGGGCTATAAAGTGAATACGGTTTGAGGGTTAAGCCATATTTCATTGAAAACCTCTGATTCTGTATTTCCAGAGAAGCCGTATCTGTCTTTGAGAACCTGAGCAAAACGTTTCCTGATGAGAACTGTGTTCTGACCAGCAGAGAAATGTTTTTGGATGTAAGCCATGAATATATTGTGTCGGTTATTTTTGTATTATTTATGTACTATCATGTTTGTGATAGATTTGAATTAATATTTAGTTTTTTATCAATATTTAGAATTAGCTTTAATTTGTATATTTTCCACAAACACACACACACACTCACACACATATATTAAGATTGTTAGTGTTTTTTACATAATCAATGTTTTACAGTGATGCTCTTCAGGTGATTTAATAGCTGAGTGTTTTTTTTTTTTCCAGAGCTCAGCTGGAGGAACAGTTCCATACCTGGGCACGTACCTTACAGTATTGAACATGCTGGACACTGCCCTGCCAGACACTGTGGAGGTGAGGTTGGAATCATGTTTGTTTAGGAATGGCGGATTGCTTGACTGACTTAGCGGTGCTCATACTAATACACACTGTTCACCTCGCAACACCTCAGCTACCAAAAACACACAGAACAACCTAGCATTTACCTTTCAGCCACTCAGAAGTGTCGTAGTGACCATCCAAAACACCCTAGCAATCACCTAGCAACACCCTAGCAACACCCTAGCAACCTTTAGAATAGAACAGAAAGAACAGAGATGAGAATGTGATAAAAAAAAACGTGCTAAAAATCACACAGAACACCATAGCAACACCCTAACAACACTCTGTATGCCATAGCAGAGAATGTGATAGAAACCACTCTGAACACACTAGCAGATGGATAACTGTGTGCTGAAATGCACACAAAACACCCTAGCAACCCAGTCACTCAGAAATGTTCTAATGACAACCTAGAACACCATAGCAACACCCTAACAACACTCAGTATACAATAGCAGAGAATGTGATAGAAACCACTCAGAACACCCTAGCAACCCAGTCACTCAGAAATGTTCTAATGACAACCCAGAACACCATAGCAACACCCTAGCAACACTCAGTATACCCTAGTAAAGTAATGTGCTTAAAAAAACTCAGGATTTCAAAGTAACCAAATAACTTTGTGCTAAAATCACACAGAACACACTACCTGGGAACCATTCAGAAATGTCCTAGTGACCATCCACAACACCCTAGCAACACAATAGCAATCACCCTAGCAACACCCATAAAAACCTTGCAGAGAATGTGATAACAACCACTCAGAGCACCCTAGTAGATTCATAACTGTGTGCTAAAATCATACAGACCACCCGAGCAACTACCTTGCAGCCGCTTAGAAATGTCCTAATAACCATTTCAGAACACCCTAGCAACACCATAGCAACACACAGAATATCCAAGCAGAACATTTTCTAAGAACATCATAGTAGCTGCATTACAGTGTGTACAGAAATCACACACAACACCCTAACAATGCTCCAATGACCAGTCTGAACACCCTAGCAACCACATAGCAACTACGTAACCATTAAAGCATCTTATCAGACACCTATAGCAGCAATGCCCTGATGTTTGCATAACTCACATTTTCTTTTGAAAATGTAAAAATGTCCTTTTTCTCTTATCAGTTTTCAATTTGATTTCACATATCATTTTGATTAATATCTGTCCATTATCAACAGGGTGGCCTCATTAATTTCGAAAAGAGAAGACGGGTAAGTCCTGTTTGTTTATCTTCTTAACTGTCTAATTAGATGTACCCAAAGCAGTCTTTGTCCAGATCTTGTTGTTACAGATTTGGTAAGAGCTCATTCTGAATAGACATGAAGTCCTCTTTAAAGCTTTGGTTTGACGTCGGCGCCGTAGAGATAGACTTATGTTTAAAAAGCACTCTCTTCCTCCGAAGGCAGACTGATGTTAATCTCATGACTGATTATTATTTGTGACATAACAGTCATGCTAACAGTCTTTGGCTTTGTTTCCTCTATTTCACTTTAATCTCTTGCTCTGTATATTGTTGCTTTGCCACTAATTTCTTGGGAATCACTCCTCCCGCTGTTTTACAGGAGTTTGAGATTTTAAGGCAGATCCGTCAGCTGCAGGCCTTGTGTTCTCAGTATGTTTTACCCCGTCATCCTCAGATCGCCGCCTGGCTGCAGAGTCAGAAACTGCTGTCGGATCAGGAGAGGTGAGACTCTGACCTGATTCACAAAAAGAGTGGGCAAATGTGTGGATCAAAATAAATACTATTTAACATCATTTAATATAAATACTGTAATTTAAATATTAAATGGAACAATAAAATCTGGATTAAGTATAATCCTAAATGGCAGTAGCAAAACAGATCTAATAAGTTAAATTAAAATAAAATAATGGTAACACTTCATAATAAGGTCTCAGTAGTTAATTTATTACTAGGGCTGTCAGTCGCGATTAATTGCATCCAAAATAAAAGTTTGTGTTTACATAATATATCTGGGTGCACTGTGTATAATTATTTTGTATATATATAAATACACACACACATGCATGTATATTTAAGAAAAAAATATTATTTATATAAAAAATATTTATATTTATATATAATATAAATTATATATAAATCTATATACATGAAAATATTTCTTAAATATATACAAGCATGTGTGTGTGTATTTATATATAAAAAATAATTATACACTGTGCACCCACATATATTATGTAAACACAAACTTTTATTTTGGATGTGATTAATCGTGATTGACAGCCCTATAACTAACACGAATTGACAATGAGCAACTATTAGTTACAGTATTTATTCAATATTTTAATGTTGGTTAATAAAAATCCAGCTGTTCATTTTAGTCCAGTCCAGTAAATAAAGTAAAAAAATACAACATTTCATTTTAATAATGTGTTAGTAAATGTTTTAATTAAAATGAACTAAGATTAATAAATGCTGTAGATAGAAGTATTGTTCATTATTAGTTAAGTAGTTAACTAATTCCAACTAATAAAACCTTACTGTAACGCCTTACCAATAAAATAAATTCATAAAAAAATGTGTAACCTTTAAAATATTCCCCCAGAATTCTGGTATGAGATCACTTCCTTTATCTTAATTGCGCTTGTTGTGTCACTTTCCTCAGCTATGAACTTTCCAGACAGCTGGAGTCTCCTCATGACACGTCTCCATCCAACAGCGGCTGGAGTCACCAAACTCTCACCAAAAAGCTCTCATCGTGAGTATCAGTTTAAACTCCATTTCTAACTTATGTCAGGACGCAGGTAGTTAGCTGCAATTATCCTATTAGCTGAAAGCTTTCATTTGCATAATAAAGTGTACAACGACAGAGATAATGTGGCTTAACATAGCAAGAATTTATGTTTGCAGGCTCTTGTCAGGAAATGAGGGCTCCCGAAAGAACGCAGATCAGATCAGCGTGTCCTCGTCAGGATCCAGCAGCTCTGAAATTGAGGAATCAACGGTACTACACGTACAATTTTATAATGATCAATTTAGAAGCTTTAATTTTGCCCTTGTGTGTTAGATCTTAGTAGAAACATTTAATTATATACACACACAGACCGTCTTTCACATCATATCCTTTTGAGACACTAAAACTTTTGTCCTTGTTTTTCATTTCCCACTAATCGGACACGAGTTTTCGTCGCTAACTTGACTCAAGCACAGCGTTAGAGAAGTCATCTCTGTGTCAGCAGTCATGCCCTCATGCCCCGTATTCAGAGACATACTGACGTCAGACACTACAGATACTTCAAATTCTTGGAAATTTTGGCCCTGATCGCTTCCATGACGTCTTTTGAAGTTGCTGAGACCAAAGTGTCAACAAAATGTTGTAGGCTCTTTCCCAACATTACGTTTATGCATTTGTGTACTTGCAGTCAGGCTACACTTTATCAGGAATCAAACCCATGATTATATTCTACAAGTCTGATCTCATTTCACATCTCTCATATGCTTTCATCCTTTTCATTGAATTAAGTAATTTAAACTCAAATCAAATTAATTTGTTTAGCCATATTGATATGGTATTATCATTCAGTCATTATAATGACTGTTTAGCTCAACTGGTATTTTTGACGTTCTCTTTTTATAACTGGTCCTAAAATGTGACTCTCTCCTTTCAGAACACGGCCAAGGTTTTTCCTTCGTCTTCCTCTCCTGATTCCTCTACCATGTCTAGTTCATCCTCCAGCTCTCAGCAGGACCTCTGTCTTAATCCATCTTCCTCATCCTCGTCTTCTCCAGCGTCAGCTAACCCTCACCTGGTCTCCTGCCATAAGCGCTCGTTCTCCATGACCACCCTGCCCTTCTACAACAGACAGGTGGACGACTCCTGCATCATCAGGGTCAGCGTCGAGTTCTGCAACAATGGCAACATGTACAAGAGCATACTGGTAAGTTCTTGCCCATGGGACTGTTTTGTAAGACAGCCTTTTTGATATCAGCAACTACAGATTTGGTACAGTTAATTCCCGGCATGGGAGGCGTGCTAACAAGGATACTATAGAGCGCAGCTTCTTGAGACTAGGGGAGTGAGGTTTTCTCTCACAGCTCTTACTAGCTGGTAGGGGTTGCACAGACTAGTCAAATAGTCAACTTTAATGCTCGGCCATGACGCTTTAAATGGATAGTTCATCCAAAAATAAATGTACTCACCATCAAGTCATTCTACACTGTAAAACAAATAGTTTAATGATAATTTATGTAGTTCAGATATAAAATTTCGATTTTCTGAAGATCAAATCAATCTCCTTCATTGTATTAACTCAATTTTTCAATTTCAGTGAACTTAAAATTTTAAGGCAACCAGGTTACTTCATTTTTTTTTAAGTTAAACCAACAATATTTTTTTACAGTGTAGGTTCAGACTAATACAATCGGGAGTTATATTAAAAAAAATGTCCTGGCTCTTTACCTTTATAATGCCAACGAAATTACTGTTTCTGTTTTTAAATCCATGAGAGTGCATCCATCCATGATAAAAGTGCTCCACACGGCTCTGTAGGGTTAATGAAGTCCTTCTAAAGCAAAGCGGTGCATTCGTGTAAGAAAAATATCCATATTTAATATGCCGGCCAAACAAAACATATTCCACTTAAGCGCTCCACGAGATATGTTTGATTATTATACCATCAGGATGCTCAGGATTGATTGGGAGAATGCATGTTTTAAACAGCTTAAGTTAATAGCTGTTCTAAACTAATTTGCTGCTGCATTGTATAACACACATATACACACAGTAGCTTGCACATGATCATGTGCAGATCGCAGAATCATTCAGTTGCGTGGAAATGTATTGTCAACACTGTTCTGTGATTTATATCAATAAGATAACTTAAAAACTGGAAAGTTCTTGCATATTTTTCCATACATTATATATATTAAATTGATACATATTAGTAAAACCCACAGCCTTGCTATTAGTAGAGAGATTAGTAGGCTAAAAAAGGCACCATTTAAACAGCATTTTGCTGTTCAGACTATCAAAATTGAAGTAAGATGTCATAGAGATTACTTTTTACTCTGCAACTAATGCACTACCAAAAAAAAAAAAAGATGAAATATTCTAGGTACCCATCTTAATTAGTATTAATTTCTGAAAGCCTAAGAATGGCTTGAAGAATAATGCATTGAACGTTACTTATAGGTGCAATTTAGCATCTTTTATATTTGCTAATCATAATCATCATCCTGAAATGAATAATTACCAGGCTGGTTATGTTGATTATATGTTGATTGGTTGTTAAATGTAAATATAATTACCTTCTATGAATTCAATAAAGATCTAAGAGTCATAGTGGACGATTACTGTTCTTTTATTTCTTAAAGTGTTCAGTAAACATTTAGCAGAAACTGGAGTGAATTCTGTTCTTTCTTAACTTAACGATCTCTTGTGCAGTTGACCAGTCAGGATAAGACGGCGCAGGTGATCCAGAGAGCTCTGCAAAAACACAACCTGGAGGATGTTAGTGAGCAGGATTTCTCCCTTGTACAAGTCCTGGCCCAAGGCAGAGGTACTGTAAACTGGTTTGACTAAATAGTAACACTTTACTTGAAAGGGTGTGCATACAACTGACATGACAGCGTTTTATACATGTTTATGACTTTCATTCGCTCAATTATGACATTTTTAATGCAAATATGACATTGTTTGAGATGTCTTTGTTATGACTACTTGACATAAACCATTACATCATCACCTGCTGTGTCTTTGTCATGAATTACTTAGACAACACAACCTGTCATAAGCATGACATGGCAGATTAATGATCAAACTTAAGAAACCACTTACCGGATAAATTAAACTTGTCATTATTAAAATAGTGAACTTTTGAATCCCACTATATGTTTACACTGTATGAAAACTATAAATGGAAGGTTTGCACATGTGGATTACTCATCATTTGTATGCATGATTTTGTTGTAGAGTTGCATATTCCAGAAAAGGCCAATGTGTTTTACGCCATGTCTACATCAGCCAACTATGACTTTGTTCTACGGCGATGCCCAAAAGGCCAACGGAAGCAACTCATTCGCTCAGTTTCACTGTCATCAGGACGAGCGACGAAATAACTGCGGATTCGCCCTCGGTGTCTGACGGATTCCTATTTCCTGTGCAAACAGTCGTTGAAGACGCGTCATTCGGACACAAATGGAGATGTGTGAGATCGAAAACATTTGAAGACTATAAGACTATTCTGGTCCACATTTCACCTTGGAAGGTGATGACGCCGTTCACAAGCTATTTTACTTCCATAATGTGATGTATTTCTGGTTGAAACAGGATAATTCTTTGATGAGAAGTTTTATCAGTTCGTTTAATTGGATTGTGAAAGGTTAGAATATGAGGATTTGGTGACGTCATTACATTTTGATGTATAATTCATTTCTTTGCACTAATGAATCATGCATGATACAATCTAGAACATTCTTAGATGAAAAGATTCTATATAGAACCTTAGAGGGTTCTGTTCTATCAGGAACTTCATTTATAGAACATTTTATGGCTTTCCATCATGGGATCATTTCATGGATTTACAGTAGTTTTAATTAATTCATTCATTTTATGACTTAAAGAGCTTGTAAACATACCTTTTCAATGGAAATGAAGACATAGAACCTTTTTGGCATAAAATGTTCTTTACTCTTAAGTCAAGAACCAAAGTGTGTACATATATATGTGTATATATCGTGCCAATTATGTTGACTGAAGGGCTTTGCAATGGAAAGGCAACTGTCACATGTTCAGTTTGATGAACTGATAACCCTGTAAATTGTTTTAAGTGACAAGAGACTGATAACAAACACGGCACCTTCTTGAATTCTTAACATTCAGTGCAGTGATAATGGGATAAAGCAATGCTTTTCAATGACCTTCCGCTCTGTCGCGAGACCGTCTAACCAGATTTACAGTATGATAACGCACTTATACTTCGAATTGAAACACAATCGGAGCCTGGAATAAGACTTTTTCAATGTTCACACAGACTGTCTATGGTTGATACATCATCAGTTCACTATTTACTACTATAATTCCTTCTCATGAAACCATCATGATGCGGGAAGACTGGTGCAGTGGTATTCCCGAGACACGCTTTCATGCTGTTGTCCACTGTCATTTGATGAACCCAGTTTTTAGAAGAATATTTTTTCTGATTTATTATTTATATGAGGCTGTGTCTGATCTTTTTACACCATTATGTCTTGATTCCTCCTTTATCTGCAGAGAAATTCAGTAACTTGACTCCCCACAATCAGTCTTCTTCTACAGACTAATACTGTACAAGCTCTTGCAGTTTAAAATGAACAAGATAAATTATATTATCACTCTAAGATGTTTGAAATGTAGATATTTTAGTACTGCAATACTTATGTTAGTTTGTGTTGTAAATTGAATGCAATGTATATTATAGTTATTTTAATCATTTCAATGTTTCATTTATTATTTTTTTAATGTATTTGTATTTTATTTTATGTTTTTATAATTATTATTGTTTTATTTTTAAAAAAAGAGAATTTTTTTAACTCCATGTTTTCTGAACCCTGCAACATTTCACTGATGAACTTTAAGCAATTTTATCTGAAAAACAATGTAAAAACCATGTAAATAAATACACAGAAGTGAAACCGTGAGTGCAAACTACTGTACTGATCTGAGATGAAAGATGGTTATGCACAGATCGATGTGGATTTGCTGCTATGGATGGAGAGGCATTGTGAAAATGAGCTAGTAAAATATTAATATGCGTATGATGTTTGAATATACTCAAAGGTCTCTGAAACTAGCAATAAGCATCTGAAGTCACACTTTCAAATGCTGTTATAGGAATGGGCACCCAAGTAGCCTTATATTAAGCTATGATTAGCACATCTAAGCACCTGTTCAGTTTTACACTTGAAGACTTGACTAGGATGGCATTGAGATTTCAGTAACCTCAGCAGATCACGTGGAGAAATAAATAAAATCTGAAAAAGGACTGTGATTGTAGCCTATCATCTGAGTCTGTGGCACACCTTTGTCCTAAGCAGTTCCTGAAAGGAGTTTCCATATGCAGTCCAACAGTTCTTTTTCCAACATAGGTTTTAGAAAAGAGACAAAATTACTTTTAAAATGTAGGCTACAGTACAATTACCAAAATGCGAATTTGAATTAATTAATTAAGGAGAATTAATTAACTACAATTATACCATGTATAATACCAGATATAATAAAAATGTAATTGAAAGACGTTAGAGACGACCTAATTGATTACCACGTGACCTCTAGTGATTGACAACAGGCCTGACTGACTGATAGAAAAGCTCGCGTGACGTTTACTGGTCTGTTTGAAATATGTTTGAATCAATTTTCCAACGGACTTCGGTGAGAAAATCAACGGATATTATAATAAACTGCAGCAAAAACCTATATGTCGTTTACTAGTTGTTTAATGAAAGCAAATTGTTTAGTAACCGCGAGTAGTGGTTGTAAACAGTGATTTAATTAGTTAGGAGCGAGCATTTTAGGTTAAAGTGAATGATGGACGCAGGACGGACATTTGGCTTTAGGCCAATTTCTGCCAAAGACTCGTGTGTAAGTACTAGGCAAACACACATAATGCCTTAAATCTTTGCTAGTTTTTAAGGATGGTCAAATGATAGGCTATTTATTTGTTTTAACACTGTTAGGTCAAATACAGACAGTGGAGTTGGATGGAAATAAGGCAGGATTGACAGGCGACATGGAGGAGGTGAGTGAGGCAACGTTAGATGCAAATATTGGATGTTTTCACAACCCTGAACACTAAACCTGCTACTGGGTTCCTAAAGTTATGCAAAAACCCCAGCAATATCAAGCAGTTTCAAAGGTGTGACAAAGTCATGGGGGATTTCTTTACTTTAAAGTAACATTCAATGCTAGTAGCCTACTGTAAGTATTTTGTTTGTAGGCCATCTCACATCATGGATCTCACTTTTACAGTACCTCTTTCTGCAGTTACTTCATCACACCAGTAGGTGGCGGCAGATGACTGTCTTTAAGTCAAGCTGTCAGCTGATAATTTATTTAGAGTAAGAACCATGACAATATTAATTTATGGTGGTTCCAGTGCAAAGTGTGTACCTGTTATATGGTGACAAAACAACAGAATAAAGATTAAAAAGAAAGTACTTTAGTCTTGTTATTGTTAAATCAAAGGCAGACTAAAGTGAAAAGTAAATGAAATGTTGCATTTTGGCCACTAGATGGTAGAAAAAGCACAGCCTTATGAGTACATGTCACCATAATCAAACTATTTTGTCATTTAGGTTGTACTATGTTGGACATATGCATATTTTCTGCTCAGTTTGAACTGAAATATTTTCCTATCCCAAACACCTTGTGTCAGGGAAGTTTATTTACTTAATGGCAGGGGTGAGTAGAACGTATTCAAACCAAATAATGTCAAATAGTCCAATACAAAAATATAGAGACCAGAGAATCATTTGATCATGTTCAGTGTGTCTGGGTGGAAACGCCTGACTCACTCTCTGGCAGGACTTTGGGGTTTTTGGGCCAGACAAGAGCAGGTCCTGAGTCAGTGCAACAGGCCCTCAGTGGGTCGCTGCATGGGTGCGGACAGGGATACGGAGCACCCCACGATTAATCAGACCCAGCTGCCTGACAGTTTAACTGTACACCGAAACCGAGCGACGTGACACAACTAGAATGATGAAATTGAGCTTTACAGTGTTTCTTTGATTACCATTCTAGCTTAATGTGCCAGTGTAGATAGATAGCCCGTTAAACTTGACTACGCTTCAGTAAAGTTACAATGATTGTAACTACTGATATGTAATCTAATTTAAACTTTCGGTTTAATAAAAGGTGTCGTAAATAACAGCGTGACCACATAGCTTTGGGTCGGTAAGATTTTTTTTTTAGGTTTTTGTAATTCTTCTGCTCACCAAGGCATTTGATAAAAAATACAGTAAAACTGTAATATTGTGAAACGTTATTACAATTGAAAATTGAATTTCTATTTGAATTCTTTATAAAGTGTAATGTATTCCTGTGATCAAAGCTGTATTTTCAGCATCATTATTCCAGTCTTCAGTGTCAGATGATCCTTCAGAAATCATTACAATATGATGATTTGATGATCAAGAAACATTTCTGATTATTATCAGTGTTGAAAACAGTTTTTTTTTGACGATTCTTTGGAATCGAAAGTTCAAAAGAACAACATTTATCTGAAATATAAATCTTTCTTTACTGTCACTGTCAAATGTTAATTAAAATCTGATCCCAAACTGACCATGTATTTAAGAACATAATAATAGCTAATAATTTGTTATGGGCCAATAATAGGCCATTTGTTGTGACCTTTCAAAATCAATTTGAAGTTGTCTTATACTGTATGTTTGTCATATTTATCATTTGGATGCAGTCAGAATGAAAGGGATTGACTTTATTATTATCCACGTTTGACTTCAACTCATTTCTGGAGCTGTCCAGAAAGAGCCGTAAGAAAGCAACCATAAAACACACACATATTACAAGGTAAATGTGTTTTATGATGGTGGTAAAAACAATTCCTGTAATCCATGATTTGTTTTTCTTACCTGACACACTTTCTATTTTGAGAAAGCAATTGCTTTTCATAATGATGCACGTGCAGACACAAACACATGGATGCATGAATGTGTTTAAGGAAGTGTGCGTGCAAACAAACACACACGTACATTTACTCATGTTATGTATAAACACACCTACATTTGTCATTTCATACTTTTGTCGCACACTGTTTAACAGGAACTCACACATGGACTCAAAACTGATGTAAGAGGATATAGAGAGTCAAAGCAGAACATGTTCAAGAGAATGCGCTGAATCACAGGGTGAGTCGCAATTGCATGAACAATAAGTCCCCATGCAGGAACAACCTTGACTCACACACAGTCTTCACGTGCACAGTACCACAGCTCACAGTCAAAAAGCTCAAACAAAAAAATCGTATTGTTTCAAACATAATATGCAAGTCTAATTCATACACCCTCGGTGATGTAAATAGTGTCTTAATGTGTCCCATTACAGTCATGAGTAAAGCAGTTGACCTGTATATAAATATGTATAGTGCACATGTTAGGCAGAAATTTCTGTTTGTATTCTCAACAATTTTTTTCAGTCCAGTTAGCAAATTCATCAGCACTAATGTAAACAAAAGTTATTTGGGTCCAAGGTAAGTTTATGTCTTTTCAAAAAAGGATACTTGGAGACTCTATACTTTAGGGTAGGGATGCACCGATATGAACATTTTGGCCGATACCGATAATTCTTTATACTTGAAAGCCGATAACCGATATTTTGGCTGATAAATCTAAATCCAAATTTTTATTTCATTTTTGAGCGTCTGACTACAAAAACAAAAGTCTCACCATTAAAATCCATATCCCAATCACATCATATAGTTTACATGGACTATATGACAGACCTGTGCCGCACTAAACTGTATTTTCATTTTTTGTCCAATCATATTTCAAGCAATTTCAAACCATGTTGAACAGTGCATCTGAAGCGTCTCAGCTGATGGAAATAATACATTAATTATCAGCTTTAATATATCGGCCTAATTTTTGTATCAGGCCCATTACTATAACACTAAAAATTAACATATATCGGCCGATACCGATATGGCGGCCGATATATCGTGCATCACTACTTAAGGGTCTCCAAGTGTCCTTTTTTGAAAAGACATAAATTGACCTCGGAAAAGCTTGCAAAATGTGTGAATTTGTGTGAATCACCCTTCAATCTGATGGTTTACAGCCAACGAGGACAAAATTAGCATTCAACAATATACATGGTGTATTCTTAATTTGACATTTGTGCGTTTAATTTTGATTGGAATGTTTAATCTATTCACAGCCCTAGTATATTACATATTTCAGTTTTATTTTATATTTTTATATTTTATTTATTATTTTATATTTTTTATTTAATTTTTATTGTTTTTATTTTAGTTTTTTATTAATTTTTTCAAACAAAACAATTATATTTATAGTATATTGAAGTGACACTTGGAATCAGAATGAGCTTAAATTTATTCTGATTTTATGATGCGTCCATTCAATATACTATAAATATTGTTTTGTATTAAGAAATGTATCAATTAGGGGTGTAACAATATATCGTGTCACAATATATCGCAAATCAAAAGTGCAACGTATCGTGGATACTAGTGACAATATGTAGTGCGTATGTATGGTTCAACCAAAATAACATTTCTGTGCGAGTTTTCAGAGTTTCAAGTTACTACATTAAACTGCTATATATAATGTATAATAATGATAAGGGGGAATATTTGTGGGTCCTACAGTACATAATTTTAAATATATCTAGCAGTGACCGTGCAAGCATATTCGGAATCATTCAGAATCTTCAGAATCATGAATATTTTTATTCTGGTGTCTATCCTTGGTTTATCAGCACCGAGGCCTATTCATTTACTCCCACATTGTAATATCAACTGTAAATTTTTGTTAACCTTTTACCATATGTCTTGGATATCGTATCGCTAGTTTGTGATATGTATTGAATCGTGACGTGAGGGTATCGTTACATCTAACATATAATGTATATCCACATATAATATTTATTTCTCGTGTGCCAGTGTTTACACTTTGTGGTGTTGGCTAAAGTTACTGATCCCTGCGATCAATTGTACCTGGCAATGTTGCAAAGTTGCTGTAATCAGATCAGCATTTTGGCTAATATTAACAGCTGTAGTTCTGATGAAAACCAAATATATAACACCATAGGTTCGTACCCTGTTGTGGGAGGATTTCATATCGGCTGGGTCTGATGCTCTTGTCAGCGTAGAGGGGAAGATGGATGATACAAATTACAGGAAAATCTAGAACCTGCTCAAGATGGCTCTTCTTTCAACATGATGACACCGCCAAATCAACTATTCAGTGGCTGAAAGACAGGATGATAAATGTCCTTGAAATGTCATGTCAGACTTGAGCAGTTCTGTTTGAGGAAACCGGCAAATATTCCCCTACAAGGTGCATGTGCAAAATCAGTGAAGTATGAAAATCAAATAATTTTGTCAAACCAGTCGATCAATTCCCCATGCCCCTGCATTTTCTCTTGTGTGAGAAACCGTTTTACTCACAATAGGGAAAGAGACTTCTGTGAATATTAGCTGTAATGATGAACACAATTATCATTCAGGGGCATTTTGGGGTCATGAGATCATATAGCCTAGCTTTGGAGCTCAGCTGCTGCTGTGTTTGTTTATGCTATTTCTATCCCTCTTTGCAAAAAAGGGGATGAAAAACACTGTTGTTTTCTTCTTGCCATTCTCTCATTTGGATGATGGCTTAATGCGTTTTCCGTGCTTTCATTTACCGTGAGCTTGTGTGTGTGTGTGTGTGTGGAGGGGCTCCTTCAGGATGAGTCATTTGCTTACACTGGCCGCTCTCTCACACACACACGCTTGCTAGCAGCACATGGCCTGAAGACGGCACACACTCTCCCTTCACGTGGTGGCCCTTCTCTCCATCAGCACACCTTCCTATTTTCTCTTTGTGCTTTTTTTTAATCAATGCTTTAGCCATCATAACCTAGTTTCTCTTTATCTACATGGATTTATTTGACCTTCTTGTATCAACAACAACAATTTTAAACAAATCCAAACACTGTTATTCCTGATCGATTTGCCTTCGATTTGTAAGTGCATTTGGATAAAGAATAATAAAAAAAGAC